CCCCCTCCCCCACAAAAAAAAAAAAAAAAAAAAAAAAGAAAATATAATCCTTACAGACTTTTCCCCTAAAAACTGACTTCCCCAGGAAAATGACAGAGCAAGTCAGAGCTTAGAGCAGCAGTGTTTAACTTTTTCTGTGTCATGTCCCCTCTCTGTCAATCTGGTAAGGGTAAGGGACCCCATTCTCAGAATAACGTTTTACATGATTAAATATGTAGGATTATAAAAGAAACCAATGACATGGAAATGCAGTTATCAAAATATTTTTTTAATTACAGTATTACAATACATGTGCTTCTTTACGAGTAAATTAAATAACAGGATTTCTCCTGGATCTATTAACTACCATAACATCCAACGTGTGACAAATACTAACAATATATTGAGATATCTGCCATCTTTGTAAATACTATGTTAATATCTGTAATTTCTATTGTAAACACAAGTACTGCTAATATCACTGTGGTATGTGGTCTACTGTAACTGAAGAAAATGACAAGTTTCAGTTACCAGTTAATGCAAATAAGGTATAATTTGTTTTCTCATCAAAATCCATATATCCTCTGAATTTGACCCAGGAGCACCTTAAAAAACTCTTGGCATATTAACTTCACACTGATTTTGAATAGGGATAAAATAAAGTAAGGTTTAAATATAGCTCAAAGGAAGTATGCAAAACTTGCTCTGCTCATCCCCTATCCTTTCTGAATAAAATCACAGGAAGAGGCTAGTCCTTCCATGCTCTTCTTACCACTCCTATAAGAAAGGAGTGATGCCTAGAGAGATGCTTTCTAACCATGAATTAAGTAAACAGCACGACGGGCAGAAAGATACCCAAGTAGCACCAGTAGAGAGGCTAACAAATCTTTTACTTGTTTGAGTGCAGACCTAACATCAAGCCTGGAGTTTACAGCAATGATGAAAACTTAGGCTGGTATCTAAGTAAAGTGTGAATTTAAGCTAGGAGGACACACCATAGCTGAAGAGATAACAGCATCTGACAAAAAGGGGGTTTTGTAGGGGGAAAAAAAATCCATCAAAATCATGTCAGCCCCTGTTTACTTTAAATCAGAGTCACAGAAGTCAAAGGACTCACAGCGCCAGCACCTTCGAGTAGGGGGGACCTGGGGACTTTCCTTCATTTCTCTGAAGCTCAGTTTTAGCGTCTGAAAGTGGGAAATCTGTGCCTTATCTTATAGGGTTACTGAGAGTATTAAATGAACAATAGCATACACAGTGCTTAGCAGATTATCTGACACATATGAAACTAAAATATATTAACTGTTATTTTTATGATATTTCTTCTATGAAGGACCTCTTATAAAATTAAACTTTATATTTTTGCCACTGGTAAAATCATGCTTCTGATTATCCTATTTCCCTAAAGCACTACATTTCCTAACAAACATGATACCTTAGAAGAATGATAGAGCATCCACAAACCCAACTGAACAGTTCAAAGTTAACTACTAAATACATATTTTGGGGCCCTCCAGTGGAAGATGGGCCTTCTGAATGTGTGTATGTGTGTCTTTGTGTGTGTGTGTGTGTGTGTGTGTTTGAGTGAGTGAGAGAGAGAGAGAGAGACCACCCAAACACCAATGAACCACCAGCATCCACATAGTCACACCCACCACCACTTCCACTCTGTTTCTCCCAGCTACACAGGAACATCCAAATAGAAAACTACCATCATGACCCCCCAACACATATATTTTCTAAACATTTGGAAAACATGGTAAAATGATGTATTTCAACACCTAAAAGTCCCCCAAGGCGTCTCTCTAATGACTGTAACAGTATCCAGGTAATATGAGAAAACTCACAAATTTGCATTCTGATCTCAATCAACTTTGAATCCATCAATTATCTTCTACATCTGTGCAAAGAAGTTACTTTCTTTGTTGATTTACAATTTATCATAGTGCGGTGGATATTGACTTATTCTGGAAATGGCTTTGTTGAATAAGAAATTAATACTGTATCTCCAAAAGTCCCTTGAAAAACATAATGAGCTATGCACCACAAAAAAACAAAGCTGTGCACCATGGTAATTTGAAATACAATTGTTTTTAATTTCTACTGCTGGGAATTAAACAGTGGATTTCAAGTATAATGATGATGAATCAGAACCTCATATGCAGGATTTTTAAGTGGAAAAAGACCGGAAAGCTTCAGTATAATTACAAATGATGTGAAATTGGTCACACCTCTCCTTAGAGCTCAGTTTCTTGACCTGGTGTGGCAATTTCTGGGTTAATGACTGGGACTCTCTTGTAAGAAATTTGAGAAAGAAGGGAGACTGAAACAATAAACTGCCTGTTTCCCCTGCCTTCTTCTTCTCAATGCAGTAGAGAACAGAGACCTAAGTTGGGGTCTCCCTACAGTAGCACCAGAACCCCACTGATGATTAACCTCCATTTTAAAGAACCTTGCAGAGACTGAGATAAAAATAGCAATAACTCACATTTATTGAGGACTTACTACCTGCAAGAACTTGTCTCACCTGAACTCTTCAACAGCCTAATGACTTAAGTGCATAATATTATTTTTCCCATTTACAAAAAGAGGCAGGTCGGACTTGAAAGCCACTCCTGGGGTCATGAAATCAATTCAGGGTAGAGCCAGGAGTCAGACTCTGGCACTGCAACTTGAAAGCTCCTCCTCCCAAGGGCTTCTACCCAGCTTCGCATCTTTCACCCCCACCTCCTAGGCAATTCACCTCTTCTCTCCAAAGATCAGAAATACAAATAAATTAAATACAATATAAAACTGAATGAAAACCCATTATGAGATTTTAAAAACATGTTATATTTTCTCCTTTCCAACCTGGTTTGGATTAAACATGATATTGCACATGAGCTTTTAGCCAAGTGCCTGGCACAAAATAAGTTCTTAGTAAATGTTAGCTAGCAGTAGTAATAGTATAACTGCTTATAATTACTGTTACAGGACTCATATTCTTCCTAAACTCAGGCCTAACCAATTAGCCACAACTCTCTGATAAGCATCTCAAATTTCATCATGATCATTCTCTGATGTCCACTCTTCCCTTCTTTGAAGGTCAATGTTTTGACATAGTTTATTTGGAGTGGCCTATTTCTGCAATTGACATAATTGCTCAGTAAAAGAATAAACTTAATTCCCTTTTTCCCCCCAAGACTATCAGCACAGCATTTGTTCTGTTTAATGTCACTTTGAATTACTAAGAGACATAAAAATCCCCAAACATAAACACCATTAAACAAAAACCTATTCAAGTGAAATACAAAATGCACCGAAGAGTCATCATTAATTCCTTAAAGTTTTTCTTTGGTTGTTTTTGTTTGTTTGTTTGTTTCTGCTTTTGTTTTAGAATCAACTCCACCCAAAACTCAAAGCACAAACAGTCAAGTACAGATGAAAACAATCAACCTTTCCCAAACTTGAGCCACAAAAACAGTTGCCTTAGGCAGCCTCACTCAGAATTTATATGGATCCAATTCTTGTTGGTTTAAAAAGCTGAATCATGATGGTCATTTTAATTTTGTTTATATTGCTTCCTGAAATATTGTGTTTGAGGGATAGAAATATAATCTGATCTTGTGAACAGCAGAAATCTCAAAGGTCAGAAGTACGTATTTGTAGTTTAAAAAGTGCATGTACATCCTTGAGCATGAGACGCCAATTTCAGGGTGACTTTGAGGTCTTACTGGACATTGCTCATGATTCCCCTGGATTATTTATCTCAACATTCCCCAGACTCCAAGCCTGGCTTTCAGCATAGAATGCCAGAACTGGAGAGCTAGAGAAAAAGTCATAGAGGACAATAAAAAGGCCCAAGTGGTTTAAATGAGCCATAAGATGGTTGCATCCTCTAGGTAAGAAACTCTTTAAAGAAATAAAAAGAACAGTGAAAAGAACAGAACACAGATGGTCAATCCAGCTTAATCTGCATCCTGGCTTCCCTTTAAGTAGCTGTGCAACCTTGGGCAAGTTATTTAAACTTTCTGGGCCTAAATTCCCCATAATATCTACCTTGAGGTGCTGCTTCTGGGATTAAATGATATAACTTCTATGAAAGTTCCTGCGCTAAATCCCTTATTTAAAACCAAAGCCCTAGTCAGTGAGCCCAAGGACAAAACTTTGACCTTAATACATATTTTGTTCTGTCCCTGCAAGGAAAGTCTGCTGGAGATACTGTTTGTGCTGTAGGATTAGAAGTCACATGTGAGGTGTTGATAGTGGGGAGATGTGCTGATCAAAGGTTTCCATTAAATAAGAGTGCAGTGCGTTGCCTCTCTCAGGCTGAGTGTGTTCTTTCATGAACTGTCATATCAAGGGATAGAGCAAAGAGAGCAAGCTAAAACTACAAATTGCTAAGGCAATAAACTCAAAATGCCCAGAATTTAAACTTCCCTATGTGTACAAATGTGTGCCTAAATTTTACAATGAACATTAGAGCAAGGCAAGGCCATAAAACTGGAAAAATTCATACAAAAATCATTCCGCATTTATTCCAAAATTTAAGATGTCTTTACATTTTAAGCAGCTAATTGCCTCCCTACATTTCCCCCTCGAAGTAGGAAACAACATAATAAGTATTCATGATCACCACTGCCCAATAATTCCACCTCCCTTCAAAGCTGGTGAGAGCAACCCCACACATTGCCCAACCTGGATCTCTCTGAACTTTGCCTCATACTTATTGTATCAAGTCATGCGTCATCAATTACCTTGCAGATCTAAAACCAGCAGCTCTCCCCGAGTGTACTCATAGGTCCAGTGAGAGAAGGCCAACATCAGCTCCTCTAGGGTGTTGCTGGGGGCGATTTCATCTCCATTGTTATTGTTGTACTTCCGGAACTCCCCAGTCATGTACTTCTCAATGGTCAACCATTGGTTGGCTGAGTGGCAGTAGATTAAGAAAACTTCCAGGAACCTGTGAGGGAAAAAGAAGCCATGATCCCCTAGAAGACAGCAAAAGCAGGCTTTCCCTTACAGGACAGTCCGCAGCAGGAGAGCTCGCCTAAGACTGACCAATGAAACCTAGGAGAACTTGACCTTGCCCTTCCTGGGAAGGGAAGGAACGGAATACAAAGACAAGGAGGGTTTCTCCCATGTTTTCATGCCTCCTTTCTCTTTGAGAAAACTTTCTAACCCTTTTATAAATCCTGGACCCAACTTTTTTTTTTTTTTGGTACCAGGGATTGAACCCAGGGGCACTTGACCACTGAACCACATCTCGAGCCCTTTTTATTTTTTAGTGACACAAGGTCTCACTAAGTTGCTTAGGGCCTCACTAAGTTTCTGAGGCTAGCTTTGAACTTTGCAATCCTCCTGCCTCAGCCGCCCGAATTGCTGGGATTACAGGCATGCACCACCACACCAGGCTAGACCCAACTTGTTTTGTCACACTGCATGACATTCCTTGTAAGTAAAGCAATGAAGTTTTACCCTAAGTCCTCAGCACCAAATTATTAAGCGTGTTGATGAGTGAATGCAATTCTCTGGAAACACTCAAGTAAAAGTAACCAGAGTTCAATCCTACAGAGTTCCTAATTTCTTTAAGACACTGAGGGAGAAACTATGCTTAAAATAGAGATGCTTTTCTGCCACACTGATCCTGGACATTAGTAACACATCCAGGATCTGCCTGTTTTGCATAATCGAAATGGTGGTGATGGCATCTACTTGAACTTCTTTTTTTTTTTTCCATTCCCATAAATTTAGTGATGTAGGCCAACACATCTCTGGGGCATCTAATTCCCCTTTTTCCAGTCTATATAGCTATGGAAGAACCCAAAAAATAAAGCCATGGGAGACTTTCCCATGGGTCTGATATTTCTCATAACTAATGGGCTGAGAAGAGATTAATAGGAGTTCCTACTTAAAATGAAGGGCCATTTTGCCAAGATTTCCTTACCTCGGTGTGTAGGGAATGGTTTGCGGTTTCACTTGGTTGAAGGTATAGATTAGTTTTTGAGCAGCCCTTTGCTGTTGAATTTCCTACAAAATAAGGATTATTGATATTATATAAATGTGTGTATGTATGTGTACATTTACTGACACCTATCGATTAACGATCACAGAATTCACTAGAGGCTTCCCAAATGTGATTTTTCACTTATTCATCTACCTCCACTCCCTCAAAAGTGAAAGTCCTACAAAACAAATATAACAAAATTCACCACCTTCAAAATAATACTAGACTTCCTTCAAGTTGGATGGTAGTATTAGAAAAGATGTAGCCAAGTCTCCTTTCTTTGGCCTGTCCTTCTGGGCTCTGAGTCTCTGAACTTCAGACTCACCCTGAGGCAAAGATGAAGCACTGTACTCTCCTGGAAGATTTTATGCCAAGTCTGCACGACCTCAGGGAGAAAAGACTTCACAACGAAAACGTGTCCTGGTTTGAGAACATCATCCTCAGACCATGTGCTGATGACTCGCATGGCTTTGCGGAGGCCCCCGTCCAACTCTTCCTGGGACAACACCTGGATCATTGCAGCTCTTCCATGCTGGGACCAAGAGGACATGCTCTTATCAAGGTTCAGAGGGGAGCTCTCCTCCAGCCTATAGATGGTGACTTCTTCTCCTGCTGCAAAGAGAAGTGAAGGCCAGGAGTTCAATGAGGTCATCGGGTCTGGGACAGGGAACAACCTTGATATCAGCTCAGAATTAGTTCAGTGGTCCCCATGATCAGAGAAGAAGGGAGTAGGGCAGAATAAGGACATGGATCAAGCTAGTGTCCTATAAACGTGGGGAGGGAAGAAGGGACAGTATTAGATGACATGTAAGAATTAAGTTAGTCTTATTGTAGACTACAACTGGACAAAAAAAAAGTATCAAAGTAGTATGGAAATGCTTTTATTAAACAGAAATGTTTTAAAAGAGCTATTCATTATCATTCCTAAAGGAGCTTTATTAGGCCTGTTTCCATAATTGCCCTCCCTATCTCTAATTAACATTAAGAATGCAGCCAGGCACAGTGGTGCACACCTGCAATCCCAGCAGCTCAGGAGGCTGAGACAGGAGGATCTCAAGTTCAAAGCCAGCCTCAGCAATGGCAATGTACTAAGCAACTCAGTGAGACCCTGTCTCTAAATAAAGATACAAAATAGGGCTGGGGGTGTGTTTCAGTGGATGAGTGCCTCTTAGTTAAATCCCCAGAAGCAAAATAAATAAATAAATAAGAATGCATATGAATAAGGGTTGTGCTTTCTGGTTTTCTCCTTTAGGGATGTTATTATATCACTGAGGCAGTTAGAGTCAGATAATACCAGGGTCATACCCACAGCTTCTCCCTCTTCCCTTAGTGCCTTTGAACAAGTCATTTAAAGCCTCAATTTCTCATCAGTAAAATGAGGATGAAATGGGTTGTTGCAAAGATTAAAAACACTGACATGGCTGAAGTCAGATACAAACTCAATCTCAAAGGAATTTAGACAAAATGGTACTTAACTGCTACACAGCTTCCATTATTCAGCTATTGAATAGGCACAATTCTTTTTGAACCTGGACTCCATCAACACAGTGTTAATGCTTCAGGACAGATGTAACAGAATCATGATAGACTTCCCATTGAGGTTGTCTCATTTTTTTTCTTACATCTTTGCTTCAAATGTTTGTTACTTTGTTTTTTGTTATTTGTGTGTTTGTTGTGAACACTGTACTGGTTTACCTAGAAAAGAATCCATTCCCTCACTCTTGTATCTAGTTCCTTACCAGTAAACACATCTGGGGAATGCTTAGTAATTCGTTTTCAAATATTTATTCTTGGTTCCCAGACAAATGCCACAGGAGATCTCTTTGGAGTCCTGATCCCTAGAGAATTCAGAGCACAGCTACTGATCTGCAAAATCAGCAACGGAACCAACTGGAAAGAGATGTCTGCATGAACAATCAGAAGCCAACCTGGTCTGTCCCATGTGAACAGTGTGAAGAGAATGGAAATCAAGGGCAGCATGGGGGACCTTGTTATATTGTCAATTGGTTCCCGCTTTATCCTCTGAACTTTATGCTCTAGCAAACTTGTTCTTTACTACTCCAACCTTTCAAAATGACATTTACAGTCTGAGGTAAGATCAATCCATGTATGTAAAAACATCAAACAAATAAAAAACAACATACAAAGTATCTCTCTTTAGATGCCTGTCGGCTTTCACCATATTGACATTTCATGCTCTCTTCTGTGCTTATTATATGTGGTTGGTTTATTCTTTTCTTTTACTGTGTACTTCCAGCCTCAGTCAGTGAATGCCAGGTGCAACATTGTTGCTTTCTTCCCAGCTGCTGCTCATTATAGGTCTCATCCCATAGTATCAGATTTTGACCCTAAATGTTGGCCACAACAAGTTTCCATTTTAGGAAATGAATCTTAATCTATAATTATGGTCAAAGGAAATTTTTCAAGTAAAATACTGTATCATGATTTGTCCTTTGATTCACTCCAATGTCCTATGCCGCTGCCCTGGTGTGACCTCAAGAAGGTAGAGATGCTACTCACCAAACAGTTGGATGGGTGTAAACGGTATGGTCTGAGACAGCCTCATTAAATTATTCCTTTCAATGGCTGCAAACAAAAACAGTTTTACTCTTTTAAGTCTGAAACATTGGATTAAATTTACAGAAAATCTTCCCCCATCAATATAATCAAATAATGCGAGAATATTTCATTTCAAAGGCCTTTTATTTTTGCCATTATCAATATATGATAAATTATACCATTTTTAAATATATACTATGCCTTAAATGCCAATAATAATCCCAGCCTTAGGAACATTTTATATGAGGTTATATGACATGGTTCAAGGAAGGACTATGTCCCCTGCTCTCCTGAATGGCAAACCACACACCAACCCATACATACGTGGAACTGTCTTTTAAATGGCATTTTAATTTGTGGTCTTCATTCTCTGGTTTTCCTTTTCTAAAGCAAATCCAATGCACAGTGGACTGTGGGGACACCTACTGGTGATTTTGTGCAATTCACTCCTTTTCCCAGAGAGATGTGAAGACTCATTTTAATTAGAAGCAAGAGATCTGCATTTTCCTGGGAAGAGCCATATCCTAGCAGATCTGAGTCAATATGAGTTGCAGTATTCCTCACCAGAGACTTTCTTCAGTTGACAGCTGGAGTCAAAATAATGGATGACTGCTGAGCTGAGAGACCTGGTTATAAGAGCCTGGGATGAGGAATCCACTAACACATTATTCACTACAGAGAATTCAGGATGAGGCAGTCTATTACTGGACCCTAAAAAATGACCTTGATTATAATAAGAATGGTAACTCTAGCACAAGGTCTTGCCCACGTACTGAGCTTTAGATTGTATAAAAGATTGGCTGACCCGTGTATTATGTCATATAGGTTGAGAGCAGTGACCTCCAAGAAACCATCCAGTGGCACAAGTCCAGTTGGTTGTTCCATTGTTTTGCATTTCAAAGTGTTTTCCTCTTAGTTCTCCCCCAGCCCTTTGGCAGACTGTTCCTCAGGAAAAGCAAGTACAGTTATTCCCCCTTTGAAAGAAAGACAGCTGAAGCACTATGATGTGATATTGCTTAAGAGAGTCAAGACCCTGGACATCTTTTTTTAATAATATATGTGTAAGGCATCTTTGTTAAACTTTCTAGGTGAGGTGGCATCTATTCTGTGGATATGTTTATTGAGGGCCCATGGAGGGTAAAAAAAACCCTCCCTCAAAGAACTACTTCCAGGTATGTCTTTCCCTCGATATAAAATACAAAAGATCTCTGGCTCTAGGTTGCCTTGGAGTATGCAAGGAATCTGTAGACCTCCAGAACATCCTGCTCCTTCACAATTTGGAACTTGCCAATAAAAACTTTGAATCTATATCCTCTTAATTCCTCACAATTTGCCTTTCCAAGTCAATGCCTAGAAAAAAAAACTTAAAGGTTGTTCTCCAACAAAGTGAACAATTTTCCAAGTTTGGAGCTATATCAATAACATGGAATTCCCCGATGTTTCTTTTTCCAAGTGCAGAATCACAGACATTGAGTTCAGATGACCTTCTATGCACACACACTTCCTACCTGAGTAATGATGGTGAGGCTCTTGAGGGCTTTTTAAGGAGGCTGAGATCTCTGAAATTATAGAGAAGATTGGCATTTTAATTACTGGGCTGGAGATAAATACATGCTTATGAATATATTGACTTCAAAGTTATTATTGAACAGGTTAATCAGAATGGCTTCTCCGGATTTGAAAAAGCTTACCTAATATCCTTTAACCACATTATTGCACATGGTACCCTGACAGCTTCCAATCATCAATGTAATATCTCCAAACATATTTATATAGGGAATTGGAGAAAGACAGGTAATATTAGCCTCAAAGATGTATTTCCTCTGAACCAATTACACCTCAGGGTTGCAAAAAGCACTCAGCTGCCCATCACACTTCACAACATCCCAGAAGCACGATTCTCTGAGCTCCCTACCAAGACACAGTATCCACAGAAAGACATTATTAATGCCAAGTTATTAGCAGACTACTTCACTGACCTAAAATAAGAGCAAAATGATGAAAACACATTAAGGGGTATATACCAGAAACAAAGGAGTGGGTGGATAACAGCACCAAGGGATTTGCTTGGAGAAGCAACTTCTGTGTGCTGGGAACACCCCTCCAAGTTTAACTCATTCTCTTCTATCTGCTCCAGGCTAAATTACAAGGCTCCAGAGAAAGACTCTGCAACAGTTTTGCCATTTCATAAAATCAAAATTAAAGTGGAGAAACTTTAGTCTCATGGTGGCAACTTCCTTATACCTAGTAGAGTAAGCAGCATAATGAGCCCAGTCTCACAGATCTCACTGGCTTCTTGTTGCTGGAGAAGAAAGGAGCAGGCATCACTTCCTTTGGGGGTGTATGATAAAATAGTAAAATCAGCAGAAAAGACTATTCCTTTCTGAATTCATTCAATAAGCAAATACATATATATTCAGCACCCACTCCGGGTCTTGCTAGGCAAGGGAGATAGGAATAAAAGAAAAGTATATGCAACATACTAGAGAAAAAGATACATAACTAGAATCACAATACAGTTTGCTAAGTAATATAACAGAGGTGTGTGTACCAAGGTTTTGGGACCACATTAATTCTACCTGGAGGGAAGACCTTCATGGAGGTGTAAATATCTGAAGAGTGTGATAAAGCTGAGTCAAGCAGGACTTCACCACTTAAGAAGCTGTGAAACCTTATTCATGTTTATTCAACACATGCTTACTAAGCACCTATTGTATGCCAGGTACTAGCCTAAGCTGGAGAGAAGGAGCAAACAGATAAGGCTTCTGTTTATAAGACTTAACACTATTTAGCAATTTGGGGCATAAAGTGCTATTGAAACTGCACAGGAAAAGGCATTCACATATACTCTTCCGAATGATTTGCTCTTAATGAGCAAAGCGTAGAAAAATGACAAAGTTGTTGACAAGTCAAAATGAAGTCAGAGGGTATCCCCACACTCATAAAGGAAACAGTAAAATCACAGTCAAAGAGGTAATTGGAAAAGAACAGATCACATATCAGCCCTGATTTATTTGGAGAAAGATACTCAACTTTCTATCTTTATACTGAATGTTCTACTTTGTATACTAGACAAAAATTATAAATACTAATTAAAGAACTACAAAAGTCTCAGCAGGACACTGAACCTCACCATTCATAAGAAAAAAATAAAAATAAAATGTTTAAATATACAAACTTACTGTCAGCTCCATTTGAACTTCTCAACCTGTTTAGGGAAAAAAAAACAAAATTATATAGATAATTCTGCTTTAAAATCTTTCAATGATCAAAGAAAGGAAAAAGTATGTGAAACAAGCAAACAAATTTTATATGTACATATATTTGATATTTACATATACATACTCTATCAGTAACATCTGATCCCCACTTCGACTAATACAGGAATTTATCCCCCTAATGATTTTCCTTGAAAAATAAACATAAGATATGCATGTAAGTCATTCACTGTATATGCCTAAAGCTAAATTAACAGAGGTTTTTTTTTTTTTTAATTAGCTATGTGATCACACCACAAATACAAGATTTAACTGTGTTTGTGTTATTCTGGATCAATTAAACTAAAGGGTTCCTGAACTATGCAAAGGAGATGCCTACAAATGAGTCTGTGAATGTCTCTGGACAAGTCTACAAATCAGTTTCATTAGCCCACGTGGCCCCTAAATGTTCACAGGCTGAAATTAGCTCTCTTTAAATTGTTACTTGCCCTGCTCAAGTGCACAAGTGGCCATGGGCAAGTCTGAATAAATGCATTCAAAGAATATCTCCAGTATTTAAGGTCCTTAGGGAAGAAAGTACAATTACAATTATTGTTTAATTTCATGCTGCAATAACCCACTACTCTGCATGAGCACAGACTGCTGAACCTTTGGGAGAAGAAAGTCATATGTCCTTTAAGTCTGGAGGCAGGCTTGCACGGAGACCACAGAGAAAGGCCATCTCCAAGAGAGCTGACCGCACATGAAAGTCACCTTGTACCTGAAGATAAGTTTTAAATTCTGCCCCCCACAACTCTATGTACACTTAATTTGATAACAACACTAGAAAAGTCCAAAAAAACACTACAAACAAAATGAAATTGTCAGCCAGGCACAGTGGTATACACCCGTATTTCAAGCTTCAGGAGAAGCTGAGGCAGGAGGATTACTTGAGCTCAGGAGTTCAGGGCCAGCCTGGGCAACATAGCAAGACTCCATCACTTGAAAAAAAATACAAATAAAAATAAAATAGAATCATATTTTCTTGGTTAGTTTTCAAATTTTATTTCTGAATAAATAAAACCCCATGAGGATACCCATTTGTGTTTTCTGCACACTCTTTCCATCCCATATTCTTTCCCTCCCAGTCTCAATCCTTCACAGACTACTGCTTTGACAATTAGGATGTTACAAAAAAAAAAAAAAAAAAAAAAAAATCCAAAACGTCAACTTCATAAGCTAAAAGGAAAACATTATTGGAGGGGGATAAAGAACAATTTTTAAAACAAAGAATAAATATAATCAGGACTTCAGTCTTTTTCTTTAGGCAAGACATGTTTATTTCTTCTCTTCAAAGAAAATTTACAATCTTACCTCTCTGAAAAGATATTTAATCATTATTCCAAGTAACTTTTTTGACACTGAAAAGGCAAATGTCTATTTTGTTGTAGGAGTATGTGTTTCATTGTGGTATTTTTAAAAGGGACTCAGGTAAGATGCTGGTGCCAGAAACAGAAAAACCTGGATAAGAAATTGTTTTCATTCTTGCTAATAAAATAAAAATGTTGTCACTTGACACCCTTTGTCTTCCTCTTCTGACCAAAAACAAAATTTTGTTCCCAATCAGGTTAAAAAATAGAATCCAACGACTCTTAAGGAGAGACATTTAGAAATACTCACATTGGGCTCCTAGTAAGGCTGATGCTCCTGGAAGTCCATAAAGAGTTTTTGCTCAGATCCTGAGTAGAAAAGAAAGAACAACATGTGCATCCAACACACTGCCACCCCAAGCTTCCAGCAAAATACTTGCAAAACACACTCCTTAAAGGATAGATCTTTCTCTTTCCTTTAGCTCAATATTTCTCTTAATAAACAAACTAAAACCATGTTAGAAAGATGCAAATATTAGCATAATATCAGAGTAGCTTAATGTGCTGATGGACTTTAACAAAATAAAATTACTTTTATGGGGACATGGAAGAGAAAATGTAATATATGAAAACTCTACAGAAATAGGACTGACTATACAAAATCAGTTAATGACATGAAAAGGAAGTGATGGTCCAAGTTGACTCGTGTCCTAGCATCTATAGATGATATGCCAGGTGATAATGATTATTTAAAATTACATTAGACCTGGGATCATAGCTCAGTGGTAGAATGCTTGCCTAGTATTTACAAGGCCCTGGACTGAATTGCTAGTACTTAAAAAAAAGATATTAACCTTTAATTTACTTCATTCTACCTCCTACTTATCAAACTAATATTTCTTTAACTCAGCATATTCCAGGTATTATTCATGGTACTATGTTTGTAGTCTACTATTGACAATCTCATAAGGATAGTGTTTTAGAGATATAGATAAAGAAACTCATAGGTTAATTGATAGACATAGCTTTGAAGCATAGGAAATGGTAGAGTTGGGATGTGAACACAGGTTCCTGACTCAATTGCCCTCAATTGAGTCTTACTATCTACTTGCAAAACCTTTCACAGATTCCATTCCCAACAAGAACATCTAAGATTGTTCATATAGGTAATGTTCTTATAGTTCCCAAGTTCAAACAGAAAATATTCAAACCAACACCAAAATTAGATTTCTTGGGTTACTCTGACTAAATCACAAATGGGGTAGCACAAAAACAAGGCATAGATCTGTAGATGGTAAGAAAAGCAGACTACAGAATTGGAGAATCTTAGCTTCAGAGAAACACCAAGGGGCCTTGACCCTGCAATGCTTGAATCCCCTCCACCATGTCTGCAAACAGGTTCCTTCAGCCTCTGCTGGACTAACCACACTAGGCAGGAAGTTACTACTTCCAGAAATAAACCATTCCATCCTTAGAAAGCTCCAATTGCTAAAAATTTCTTCTCAGCTTGGGCTGAAATCTGTCTCCCAGTAACTTCTCCATGCTCATGCTAGATCCACCTCTTAAAAACCTATTAAAATGTCCTATTTTTCTTCCATATGACAACTTTCATATACCTGAAAACAATTCTACTAATTCCTGAATTCTTTCTCTCTTATGCTAAACATCCCCAGAAAACTAGGTGGATAGGTAAATTGCACAAAGAGGAACCACAAGAAGGAACAATCTAAAGAGGTGGGGGAAAAAATCACACAGGGATTCACCTGAGCATAGTTTCAAACAAAGATTCAAATTCAATGCCAGTAAAAAGTAGAAGCCAATTAAATGGTATAAATGTAAAAATAATATGGCCCAGTGAAGTGTTGCCTGCACTGATGATTTTTATAAAAACTATTAAAATATTTTTACCTCTTTAGACTGCTGTAGATAATCACTGACTTGTACAGTACGTTGCTCAATTCCTTTAGTTTTCATTTTCTGATATATATAAGGTTCTAGACCTTGTTTTAAAAAAAAAGATAAAAATTAGAAAATACTTGAAATGTGTTACATTCAAATCACAGTTCCCAAATAGAAAAATCTAAACACAGTACATTCATTTAAACTTGGATGTAGTTTTTCTCTTTCTGTTTTTAGCAAGTTTTATCAAGTTTCCTCCATCCTTTTTTTCTGAAGTAATTAAAAGCTATATATTCTATTTCTATTCTTCTATAGTAACTTTACATTTATAAACAACTTATACTTCTCTATTAAAGTCAAAGATTACTTGATCCATAACCTGTCCGTCTACAAAACAACTCTAAGTAGGCTATTTTTTATTTTTGTTGTTGTTGTTTATTTGTTTTTTTAAAATTTATCCACTCCTACATCTTACAGCCTATTTTATGTGCCAGGTACAAAGGCACACATCTGTAATTCCAGAGGCAGGAGGATGGTAAGTCTGAGGCCAGCCTCAGAAACTTAAGGAGACCCTGTCTCAGGCACTGAGGATCTAGCTCAATGGTAGAGCATTCCTGGTTTCAGACTTTGGTACCACAAAAAATATATTTTTTAATAAAAAATAATAAATAAATAGAATGTGAAACTTTAGTTACAAATTATTAGGTGTCCTTTCTGATTAACTGGATCAAGTATCACAGTAGGCCAAACAACAACAAAAGAAAAACAGGAATGAGGAATGCTATCAAAAAGGTTTAAATTTTAGTTTCTTCTTCAAAAGGATTATAAAAATTATTACTGACATTATATTTTTGTAGTTGGTACCTACTATGTAGGTGCATAATAATCACTTAATGAATTCTTGATGAAATTAATTCTGAGAATACTACTTATTGAGGATTCTAACTGAGCATAGAAGACCATAGTTGTAAGTTTTTTGGGGGGAGGTATACAGAACAAAATTTATATATATATAGTATAAAAAACAATAGCCTATTGAAATACCACAAAATTATGATAAAAGTTATTTCATAGCATAGTATGATAATTAAAATACCTACAGGAAAAGCTAAATATATACTTTTTCTTTTCATAGTTAATTTCCTCAAAGCTTTATTTCTTGTGTTTAAAGAAAACTACCTGATAGGTATCTCCCAATCCCCAAACATTTTTTAAAACTTTTTAATTTTCTTCTCAATTGGGTCAGAAAAATGTTTAGGAAAAAAAAAAAAAAAAAAGTAAGCTTCTCAAGTCGATGTGTGGTTCCAGAGCGATGCTGGGCCTCATCACCCACACAGATTAGCGGAGCCCAGGTTCAGCCTGTATCCCTGGCCTTGCCTCCCCGACTGGCTGTCCAACTTTATGAGAGTCTTTCCCAGAACCCTCCTGACAACTGCATCTTAGACTTTGCTTGAAATTTGCTGAAAAGAGCTTAAATAACTTAAGTACAAATGATATATAAGAACCTAAACATGGGTCATACTATTTATAAAAACAAAATACATAATATGTTGATAATTATTTTAAAAAATGGATAAATTTATAACTGGTCCTAGAAACGTGTCCTCTTTCATTCTTTTTTTTTTTTTAATGTATGGTCTCTAGTAAACTGTAATTGTAGGCCAACCAATTAAGCTTTTGAGCCTTATTTATAAATTGAGAGGGCTTAGAATAATTTAACTTCAAAATTCTCCTTCAGGTTAGAGTTCATTTGATTCTTGGTGGTTCAACAGAAAGTTGAGTATTTTTTTAAATATAAATTGGGGATTCTCCACCTTGGCATTGACATTGGGGGCTGGATAATTCCTTAGAGTAAGGATTAGTTCTTATATTGCAAGATATCTGGCAACTTCCCTGGCCTCTGCCACAGGATGCCACGACCCCCTGCTTTAGTGGTGACCACTCAATAGGTCTCCAGACCTTGCCAAATGTCCCTTAGGAAGGGGTGGGGATATGCAAAGTCACAACTTGGTTGAGAACCACTGACGTGAGAGTAAGCAAGCCTTATAAAAATGTATAAAAGCATAAACATGTAATATAAATTTACTTGCACCTTTACATTTATTATTTTAAATAATTTTTTCTCTTTATGGTGTCTCTATCACATAATCCCTTCTTTTTTAAGAATAGTAAAACAAGTTCAATGTTCTGATCATTGCTTTCATTTCTGTTTGTGACCTGCCCTCTCTCCCTCCCCATCCAGGGGAATTTTACATTCCATGCCTGGCTCATGGTTTTCACACCTAGATGGTTGTCTTCCCTCCTCCACAAACACTACAATCATTAAGCCTAAGGGAAACTTGTCCACAGAATAAATACTTAAGGTGGGCTGTAGTAAATTACCAACAATAACTCAATCCACTGAGTAAGGATCCATATTAGGGTCACATGAACCTTAAGAATTTATAAAAGTAGACAAGCTTCCTACCTCATAAATACAACTAAGTGAACACTCTCCTAGGAAATCACTCTTTGAATATATGAAACTACCCAAATCTTTTTTTTTTTTTTTTTTTTTGGTGCCAGGAATAGAACCCAGGGGCACGTCACCACAGACCACATCCCTAACCTTTTTTTATTTTTGACAAGGTCTTGTAACTTGCTTAGGGCCTTGCTATATTGCTGAGGCTGGCTTTGGAATTTGCGATTCTCCTGCCTCAGCCTCCTGGGCCACTTGGATTATAAGCATGTACCAGGTCTCAATCTTAATATTTCTTTTCCAGATCCTGATTAGTATTCCTTTAAACAAATGAAATTTTGTTCCCTTCAAAATTTAAAAATAAAAAAGGCTGTTTTTCTTCAAGAGTGTTGCCACCTTCGTTCCCATATCTGCAATTGAAATAAAATAGAAACCACCAATGGTCTAAAGACCATATTTCAAGAAAACTCTGTCAAGGTTTTGGGGATCCAAGAACATACACTGGTACCTACTTATCTGGGTAAACTTGGACACCGTGAGCCAGTTCTTGCTGCACCCCTTTTCTGAGATGTTATTTTCTCCTGGTTCTGAATCCATTTGATCATTTTGACAGCAGGCATTGACTGTTATGACCTGGAGAGAAAGTTACTTATTGGAACACAGTGACATTAATCTGAAAACATTCTGAGTCACATTAATAAAGGCATCATGGTGGAAAGCAGTGATTGCATGTTCAAATTCCCTGGGACATTCTGACAAGTCCCATCACTCAGGCTGGCAAGATACAAACACCCATGTGATTTTTTTCTTTGTAGACATAATTAAGAACAAAGTGTGTGCTGGGCACGGTGGTGCATTAGCGTAATCTCCCAGTGACTCAGAAGGCTGAGACAGGAGGATCTCTAGTTCAAAGCCAGCCTCAACAACTTAGGGAAGCCGGGTCTCAAAATAAAACACAAAAAGAGCTGGAGATGTGGCTTTTAGTAAAGTGCCTCTGGGTTAAATCCCCAGTACCAAAAAAAAAAAAAAAAAGAACAAGGTATGGAGCAGAGGTTCTGTAACTTGAGTCTGCATCAGAATCAACAGGACTGAGAGGGTGAGGCTGGAGGACCTGAAGTAAACTTCAAATAACTGGATCCTATCTGCAGGATCTATATTCAGTAGGTCTGGGGAGAGGGAGAATTTGAATTTCTAAGAGGTTCTCAAGAGAAGTTCATGCTGCTGGTAGGAGATTATAGTTTGAGAACCAGTGGTACAGAACCAAACAAGTGTGGGGGGAATAGAATAAGGATCCAAACAATTTGAGTTAGCCCTGTCAAAGCTATGTGAACTTGGGTAAATCATTTAAAGTCTCTGTGCCTTACTCTTTCAATCATTAAAATAATAGGTACCAGGTGTACACCTATGATCTTACAATCCCAGAGGCTGAAGCTGGAGGATCACAAATTTCAGGCCAGCTTGGGCAATTCAACAAGACCACTTCTCAAGATAAAAAAATAAAGAGGGCTGGGGATGTAGCTCAGTTTGTAAAGTGCCCCTGGGTTCAGTTTTCAGTACCACAGTAAATAAATAAATAAAGCAATAATACGGCTATTCTCTATACTTACCAGGAACAAAGAACAAATGGGACACAATGGCAAACTACAAATCAATAAATTAATGTAAGCTTGTGTATTTGGAGCTCAGTGTAGTTGAACTCTAGCTATTTGAACTATTAAAAAAAAAAAAAAAACCTACTTAAATGCATATTTCACAGGGTTCCAGCAACTCAAGGCATTTTCTCTGAAAGAGTAATTTTCCTCCTCAAGCTAATCTCTGCTCTAAAAGGTGGTCTTACATAATTGTCTCAATACCTATGTCTTTACTCAGGGGGCTGAGGTGTTTTTTTCAAATGCACTTGGATTATTATTTGCAAAAATAAGTGTAAAAAAGAAAAATGAAGCAAGATATAGAGACCATAAAAGATGAATGCTTATAGAACTGGTAATTCAGATTCACTGAACAAAAATGAAAACAATACATCAGAATTTGTAGGATAGAGCTAAATCACCGATTAGATAGAATTTTATAGCACTAAATGCCTATATTAGAAAAGAAGAAAGTCTCAATCAGTGACCAAAATTTCTACCTTAACAACCTAGAAAGAGAAGAGCAAGTTAAACTCAAAGTAAATGGAGCAAAGGAAGTACTAAAGAGAGAAATCAGTGGAATAAAAATCAGAGAAAAATCAATAAAACTAAGAGCTTTTTGTTTTGTTTTGTTTTGTTTTTGTTGTTGTTTCAAGAAGATCAATAAAATAGAAAAATCTGTAGCCAGGTTGATTATGAAACAAAGGGAAAAACATATTTTAAATGTTAGGAATGAAAGAAGCAATGTCACTGCAGGTCCCACAGGCTATAAGAGAACAGTAAGAGAATGTTGTAAACAATATTATGCCAATTAACTACTTAAAGGAAATTGACAAACTCCTTGAAATGCACAAAGAAAAGCTCACTCAGGCAGACTTTGATGACATATATAGCCCTATACCTACTACAGAAATTGAATTTGTAGTTAAACTAGATGTGGTGGTGCACACCTGTAATCCCAGCAACTCAGGTAGCTAAGGCAGCAGGATCACAAATGATAGCGAAGGCAGGAGGACTGCAAGTTAGAGACCAGCCTCAGCAATTTTGCAAAACCCTCAACAACTTAGTAAGATCCTGTATCTCAAAATGAAAATAAAAAAGATTGGAGATGTTGCTCAGTGTAAAGCATTCATGGGTTCCATCCCCAGTATCAAACAGAAAGGAAAAAAAAAAAAAAAGAATTTGTAATTAAAAACTTTCCCACAAAGATGGTTTAACTGGTTCAGTTTACTAAATACTTAAGGTTGACAGAATATTATTTTTTTGTAAACTCACCCAAGAAACCAAAAGCATATTTCCCAACTCAGTCAATAAACTCGGCACCATCCTGATGAAGCCAAGGAAAAAGGTAGTCCAGGTAGATAATAAGTAATTGGGTCTGATTAAGAAGATGGGGGCTGGTTGGAAAGGAAATAAATCGAATGTTGATATCTCCAAAGCCCTTTCCCCACCCTCCTCCAACCTGTTGCTAAGGTAACCTGCCCCAGAGATTGTTCCTCCCTACAGGGAGCTGTTAATTAATGCCTCCTGGGCTGCTACCTTCCTGCCTGGATCACTCAACCTGTTGGCCCACCTTTTGGGTCACTTGTCTCCTAAGTAGGATGGGAGAGGAAAGAGACAAGATAAGGGGACAAGGAGAGACCATAAGTACAAAGGAATTCTAAAATGTATAAAAGGGGCAGGATACCCCTACTTCTTTGGATACCCAGCTCTGGGACCCCTTCTCTATGGAGAAGACTGTCTCTGTGCTATCCTTTAACCAAAACTTGCTTTCTATACTTGCCTCGGCATTTCTCAGGTGTTAACATATAGGGAAATGGAACTGGGCACTGATTGATTTTCATCATGGGTGATATCATTGATACCAAAGCCAAACAAAGATATTACAACCAAGACAAACATCCCTCAAGAAGACAAATACAAAAAAAAAAATCAAAATTTTAGCAAAATAAATACAATTTGTAAAACTAGATACATGACCAAGTGGGGTTCATCCAAGCAAGGTTAATTTAATATCCTAAACATTTATTCAAACATGATAAAATTAATTAATATAATCCACAGTGCAAAGGAAAACCATCTAATCATCTAAGTTTATGCAAGAAAAGCACTTGACAAATGCCAACATTCATTAATGACAAAGATTCTCAGAAAAATAGGAAAGAAGGGAAGATTTTCAACCAATAAAAGGCATCTATATAAAAACCCACAGCTAATATCATATTTAATGGTAAAAGACTAAACGCTTTCCCTCTGGGAGCAAAAATAAGGAAAAAATATGATTTGTCACTACTTCTCTTCAGTATGGTACTGGAGGTTCTGGCCAGCATAATCAAACAAGAAAAAGAAAGAAAGCACATCCAGATTTGAAAGGGCAAAGTAAAACTAAATCTGTAGATGATATGGTCATTCATATTTTTAAAAAATTCTCAAAAGCTATAAAAAACTTACTCAAATAAGTGAGCTTAGCAAGAATGTGGAATAAAAAAACAAGATATAAACATATATTTCTATATGATGGAAACAAGAAATCATAAATTAAAAATTTTAAATAACTGTTAAATAAAATTTTAAAATATGAAATACTTAAAGATATGTGTATCAAAAGATGTGCAAGACCTGTACACTGAAAACCACAAAAAATTACAGAAATGAAAAATCTAAATGGGTAGATAAACCATGTTCATGGATCAGAAGACTTGTTATTGTTAAAACATCATTGTTATTAACAATAACATTGTTATTGTTAAAAACATTCCTCCAACTGTCTGATAGACTCATAGCAATTCCATTCACTATTCTAGCAGGTTTCTCTGTAAAAATTGACAAGTTGATTGTAAATTTATATGGAAATTCCAAGAACATAAAACAGCCAAGCTACTACTTCTTCTTCTTTGGACCTAGGAATTGAACCCAGAGGCACTTTACCACTGAGCAACATCTCCAGCTCTTTTTATTTTTTATTTTGATACAGGGTCTCGCTAAGTTGCATAGGGCTTCACTAAATTGCTGAAACTGGCTTCAAACTAGTGATTCTCCTGACTCAGGCTCCCCGGTACCTGGGATTATTGGTGTGTACCACTGTGTCCAGTGCCAAAAAAAAACTTGCAACTTTATAATAAGACAACAACCCAACTTCAAAAATGTGCAAAAGATATGAACAGATGTCACACCAAAAAAACAGAGATGTAGCAAATAAACACATGAAATAATTCCTAACAGCATTAGCCACTACAGAAATACTAAGGAAACAACCATTAGATATCACCACACACTCACTAACATAACTAAAATAAAGATTGCATATTAAAGACTGGTAAGGATGAAAAATAACTAATAATGCTCAAAAACTACTGATGGGCATATAAAATGTTACAGTCAGGGCTGCGGATGTGGCTCAAGCGGTAGCGTGCTCGCCTGGCATGCGTGCAGCCCGGGTTCGATCCTCAGCACCACATACAAAGATGTTGTGTCCGCCAAAAACTGAAAAAAAAATAAATATTAAAATTCTCTCTCTCCCTTTCTCTCACTCTCTCTTTAAAAAAATTTTTTTAAAAAATGTTACAATCAGTTTGGAAGTTTCTGTAAAAATTAAAACATCATGCCAGGTATGGGGGTGCATGTCTGTAATCCTCGCTATTCAGGAGGCTGAGGCAGGAGGATCACAAGTTTGAGGCCAACCTGGGTAAAACTTAGTGAGACCTCATCTCAAAATAAAATAAAAGGGGCTAAGGATGTGACTTAGTGGTGGAATTCCCCTGAACTCAATCCCCAGTACCAGAAAAAAATTAAATACCATAACTGACATTCCTAAATATTTGCCAAAGGGAAGCGAAAATATATATGTCTGCAAAAAGATATGTACACAAATGTACGTGCCAGCCTTTTTTGTAATAGCCAAAAAATGAAAACAACTCAATGTTTTTCAACCCATGAGCAGATACATAAATCATGATATACTCACTCTGATAACTCATATTTTCATTCTTTTCAGTACAATGCTATTTTGTGTATGTGATATTTTACAATAAAAGAAAAACCAAGGTAAGATAGGCCATTGCTTCAATTGTTCAAAAACCTAAATTACAGAATACACTTACTGGCACCTGCAGTCCTTGAGTTTTCTTCTTTTTCTTTGACAATCTCCTGTCCTTGGTTAACATCTTTGCTTTGGCCCACACTGACCCTATCTCTGAGGTTCGTGAATGGCCTGTAAGGAAATTGGTTTTCATGAGAAAGTTAACAGACCATGGGGAGGGGACTATTTGTTTTACACAAAGAGCTGATAATGCATTCAAGAGTCATAGAGTTTTTAAAAGCTGGCAGTAATGCAAAGAACTTAAGACTTTTTTTTTTTTTTTTTTTTAGTACCAGGGATTGAACTCAGGGGCACTTGACCACTAAGCCATCTCCCCAGCCCTATTTTGATTTTTATTTAGAGACAGGGTCTCACTGAGTTGCTTAACACCTTGATGTTGCTGAGGCTTGGCTTTGAACTTGTGATCCTCCTGCCTCAGCCTCCTGAGCTGCTGGGATTACAGGTGAATGCCACCACACCTGGCAAGACTATTTTTTTTAATGTTTCCTCCTTACTTTTAATCTTATAGATCTTCATCAGTTTCTCCTCCTTATGGAATCTAAAACTATGACTCCTGAAGGGTCTGTCTCTGCGGAGGGGATTGATCCAAAAGGATGTGTTTGGCTGCAGCCATGGTCCCACGACTTCTGAGCAGTCACAGCTCTGGGTCCATCTGGTTGAGTTATCAGACAGGGATCTGCCTGGGATCTGGATCCTGAATTGTTCACTCTGAGCAGAGTCACTAGTACAAGTGGAGGGCAAGCAGGTGTGCCATTTTTTCTTGAAGCTAAACACACCAGTTTCATCGCCTTCCGAAAATGCCCAGTTCACATATCCACCTCCAGCTTGCATGCTCTTGGCTTGGGAAGGAAGAGAGGCCATCGACATGGGTGCAGGTGTGCAACTCAAAGTGGGCGGAACTTGCTGGGCCTTGGCTTGTCTGGCTGGTATCTGAGCAATTGGCTCAATCTGCCCTTTGGGTTCAGCCTCTGCTGCCTGGCTTGAGACAGCGGGGGTCTGCCAAGTCAGATGAACAGGGACCTCATTCTGAGAGACCTGTCCAGTTGCCAGCATATCTGCATCTCCTTCCACAGCTGGTTTGGACAGAGGCAAGACAGCTTCTGCAGAAAAAGGAAGTTGCTTTAGATAAGAAGGGACCCGGAGAAATTGGCCACACTTGGAGTATGCTTGCCTATCAGGGGATACTCCAGAAGCAACTATACTTTTTTCTGTTTCTTGCTCTTCCTGGTCATCCCTTACATTGGAGGCCTCTCTCTGACTGTCTTTAATCTCAAAAAGGGTGCCTCTCTGCACTCTTGGGGGTTGCTGGCTTCTAGCTAGGCTCCGCAGCAAGGAAGGGGGCATGCTATAATACTGGTATTTCTTCTCTCCAGGGATCTCCATGCTGCCCAGAAGCTCTGCACAGATGACATTGTTCCAGCTGTGGGGAAGTTTTCTGCGAGTGGCATGCTTTCTACTGGTCAAGAGAGCCTCATCCTCTTGCAAAGTGTCCACAGCAGAAAGGACCTTTAGAGTATCCACCGTCAGGGCAGAAAGGTCCTGTAGGTGTCCCACTTGGCTGTCCAAAGACAGTAAGGAGTCCTTTATAAAAGACACCTTTTCATTCATTTCTTTCAGTTGGAAGTACATCTCTGTAATCCTAATGGAGGTGAAGAAAAAAAATAAATAAACACATTAAACCAGTGGGAATTTTTCTTGCTTTCTTCATCTCTTACTCCCATCCTTAGGAGATTGCTAAACCTTAGCTGCTTCCCTAAGTTAAATCTGCCTTTCACTGTCTTCTCTCTCAGCCCAGATGATTACACCACTCCTAGGATTCCTACTATGACCCCAATAAGGAAAAACTGCACATTTGCATTTTTATCTATGATCTCTTTCAAATATTTCAGAACCACATTTCCAGGTTCCTGCTAGTGATCTCTGCAATTATCTGATCATTCCATTTTTATTCACTAATATATTCATTAATTTACATGATAAACATGCATCTCCCATGGGCAATCACTGTACAATTTGGATGGGAAATCTGCAGAAAGAAACCAAAAATCAGATGTGGAACTAGAGAAAGAAAAACAACTAGGGGCAAAAAAAAAAAAAAAAAAAAATCAAGAAAGAAAGAAAAAGAAAAAACTCCAACTGTATGTTAAAACAGACTTTCTAAGTTCCAAACAGAATTCATTTTAGGACACCTACACTGAGAAAAAGTATGAGGCGAATTTTTTAGATTATTTGGAATAATTTAACGTAAAAATATGTTGTCTAGCCACTGATTCATATAAAAGCAGCACAACGTATACTTATGAAAGAAAAAAATAAGTTGAATTAAGTGTAACAATTTCATTCAAAGGGAGAGAAAGAAAGAAGAAACTGTTGATCAATATTTATCTGTATATGTCTCTGTAAATAACTCTTAAGGAGTTTCATTTTGTGACCAACCCCTCACCCCCCGAAAAAAGGTATGTTGAAGTCTTAACCCCTACACCACAGCACGTAACTATTATTTTGACACAGGATCCTTAGAGAGGTGATCAAGTTAAAATGAGGTCACTGGGCTGCACTCTCTTGCAATATAGCTGATGTCCACATAAAAAGGGTAAATCCTGGGCTGGAGTTGTAGCTCACTGGTAGAGCACTTACCTAGCATATGTGAGGCACTGGGTTTGATCCTCAGCACCACATAAAAATAAACAAAAGAAATAAAGGTATTGTGTCCATCTACAACATATATATATAAAATATTATATTATATTTCCCCCATATATATATGGGATAAAATGGGGGAAATCCTGGCAGAGACACACACACAGGAAAAAGGAGGTGGAGGCACATGGGGAGAAGATGGCTATAACCAGAGTGATGCAACACACACCAAGCAGAAACACCAGAAACTGAGGCAAGGAGGGGCTCTTTCCTAAGATGTCAGAGAGAGCATGGTCCTGCCATATCTTCATTTTTGGACTTCTAGCTTCCAGAAATGTCAGACAATAAATTTCTGTTGATGTAAAACAACAAGTTTTTGATACTTTCCTACAGCAGCCCTAGGAAACTAATACAGTTACAAAGCTTAACAATTAATAAAACCAACTTTAAAAATATATATAATTTGATTACATAAAATAAACTTGGATGTGAAAATAACATACAAAATTTTAAAGCAAAAATGAGTGGGGCACGGTGGTGCAAGCCTATAATCGCAGCGGCTCAGGAGGCTGAGGCAGGAGAATTGCAAGTTCAAAACCAGCCTCAGCAAAAGCAAGGTGCTAAGCAATTCAGTGAGACCCTGTCTCTAAATAAAATAAAAAATAGGGCTGGAGATGTGGCTCAGTGGTTGAGTGTCCCTGAGTTCAACCCCTGGTACCACCCCCTAAAAAATTTTTAAAGCAAAAATAAATTGGAAAATTGATATTCTAACAAATATGATAAAGGCATTCATATCCTCCAATAAGTCAAAACATTTGAAAATTGTTGAAGGAAAACATACAAAGACTCCAAATAACATGAATAAATAATTTACTAAATATAAAATGAAAAGTTAGAAAACATGATGAAATAATCAACCTCACTAGGAAATCAGAGATGAAAATTAAGATGACAATGACTTTATCTACACTGTAACAACATTTGTTTTAACTTAGCAAATTAAAACAACTCAAGAGTGACAAACCAATATTGAGATACAATATCTATAAAGAGGCTATAATTTCACAATGCTAAAGCACATAAATACTCATTACATTATGAGATAGCATATTATGTAGCCATTAAAAATCACACTTATGGATGTTGACATCTATAATTGTTTAGCTGTTTCTAATGGCAGGGGCCAGGCTGTAGATGTCTGTTATATTCTACATTGTGTGTTTTTAAATTTGGCATGAAATTTTATAAGTAAAGGAATAATAAAAGCTAAAACATATTTACAAAGAATATCTAATTACTTGCAGAACAGATTTTTTATATGGAGGGAAATAAATAGAAAACAATACGGTACAATCTTAACTGAAAATATTTTAGAAGACTAAAGGGAAAGGGGCCAAAGTTTTTACAGAGAGCTCTGGATTATGACAGTGTTTTTTCTTTGTCTTCTTCCCTCATTTTGTTCTTTTATTTGGGGGTAGGGATGAGGGATACAGTTCCAAATTCTCAATGATGAAAATCTTTGATAAACAAAATTAAAGTAAAAAACAGCAAGGAAGGAAATATATCCAACAGCTTCACAGCTCATATGACCATCTGCAGTTATTGAAAAAAAAAATGATCCTCAGTCTTATGTGGGACAGGGAGAAGCAGAGATCACTCCATGGGGAGTTGAAACGCTCAGCTGTAGCAAGAAAGTCCCAAAATAGCGTTAGACTCCCTACCTCTAGAACACATCTCAAGGCACAGGGATTGAAAGACCCTCTTCTTCCTGGGAGCTTCGAAGAAAAGAATTAGAGAATCAAGCAGGTGGTCTCTTCCATTCTTATTGTATTCTATGTGGTTAGAACCCTCTCTTTCTTGCTTTTGCTATAGAATTCAACTTCTATAACTCAATAGTGGCTAAATAAATGCTTCCTGACCTTCTGGAACCTGCAAAGTTAGAATTGGCAAGGATGATCACAAAGTGTATGTATATTCCCTTCCAAATATATTTAATTGGAGCCTTCCCACCCAGCACACTGTTTCATCTAATTCAAAAACAGTACAGTCTGAATAGCAGTAATGGAGACTCATTAAGTTCCATTAGCTGCAGCTACATCAAATGGATACAATAGAAACCAGCAACTATTCACAGCAACAGGTAGCAGGCTACAATAGAAACCTGTTAGACAAATAACCTGGTCACCTCAAATCGGGTCTTCTTGCTTTTACAGGTACTTATTTCCTAAAGCACAATGTCCTGTGAAACATATTTTAATTATAATCCTGGACCACCAACTACATTAATTTAATCTAGCCTTTCAGTCATTCTGACACATAAAATAAATTCTTATCATTTTAGATTCCTCTTTGCAAAGTCTGAGGGTGGAGGAAAGATGAGGATGGTAACTTTTATTGTGGGCCTTTGGACAGGATATTTTAAAATGAGATAATAACAAGTATAATTATAATCGTAATAATCATAATATCTCCCGCATGCTCACCAGGTGCCAAGCATTTTATAAGGTTCTGCACGTACTATTTCATTTCACCCTCATAACAACTCTATGAGGTGGGTGGGACTATTATCCCTTTCACGGAAAAGAGGTTAGTTCACATATCCAGAGTCACAGGGTTGGGCATCAAATTCAGACAATGCAACTCCATTGCCAGAGCATTCAGTATAGAACTACTCAGAGACTCATTCAGGATCTAGGCAAGTTTCTTTGGAGGCCCTAGGGTCCCCAACTCTTCCCATGCTGGGGAGTTGTTCACGGATGTTCCTCAATAAGGTTTTGTGGTCAAATAATGATGAGAGGTGTTCAAGCTACAAGCCTACAAGTTAAGTCACAATGCACAATATGACAGAGTTTTTACATTTTTTAGGAACCCCAGGATTTCCCAAATATAATGCATGAAACATGCTTAATATGAAAAATATTATTCCACAGAACAGAAAGAAAAAGAAAAGCTAGTTTGCACGACTGAGGTCACCACGGAAGTTGGTGTTCCACGTAAGGTGTGCAAGACAGCACACGGCCCTAATGCACGCTCTCGTTCCACGTTCATAACTTATTTCATTCTGGAAGGCTGTAGGTGGTTTCTTCTTTAGAGGTAGGCAGACATGACTGGGCCCCTAATCTCCTTTCTCTCGCTCTTCAAACTATGGCTCAGCTACCTCAGAAAATTTTCTTCTCTCTTTCCCACACCTTATTTATGTGCTCGAGCACCCAGAAATGACCTCAGCAAGGAGGACAGTGTAAAATTTGTGCTGTTAAGACAACTCCATCAAGAGGGAAAATGGATGAGGTTTTCAAGTTAGAGCTTCCCCTATAATGAGCTTCCTCATTCCTTTTGTTTGCAACAACAAGCAGGTGACTCCTACAACTAACTCTCCCAAGAGGTAGATGGTCTCTTTGTCCAATTCCAACTTGCCCCAGGGCTTCAGATCCATTCATCCAAAGCCTCCTGGACATCTTCAGCTGGATGTGCCCCAAGAATCTCAAGCTCCACAGATCTAAGCTGCTTTTTCCTACACCTGTGTATGCTCTATCTTGGTGGTGCCACCTTTCACCTGACTACCTCTGTGACAGACCGCAGAGTCAGTCATCCTGGATCCCATCCTCTCCATTGGCTTCATCTAGTCCCCACCATGCCTCACGAATTGTCCTTTATGATTTTCTTCACTCTCTCCCACCACCACTACCTGGGCCAGGCTGTGGGACCCATCTTCTGAAGACCTGAAGTTCAATCAGCTACATAAACACATTTACATAAATATGGTATCAACAGAAAAGTACAGAATCATATAAATATAACTTTTGCCTGTGGTGAGCCATTTAGAAAGTTCATAATATGATTCAGCTTTAAATAAAGTTATATTTAAGAATTCACATCTATCTAAAATAGATGGAAAAATATATGCAGAATTAGATTAAACATTTTGTAGTCGGTTTCTTGTATATTTTATTTTGTTTCATTGCTGTTATTGTTTTGTGGTGTTCTGTTTTGTTTTGCTACCAGGAATTGAACCTGGGACGCCTTACCAATGAGCCACATCCCCAGCTTTTTTGATATTTTATTTTGTATTATATTTTTATTTTTTATATTTTATTTTTTTATATTTTATTATCAGGGTCTTGCTAAGTTGCTTAGGCCTCACTAAGTTGCTGAGGCTGGCTTTGAACTTGCAAAGCTCCTGCTTCAACCTCCTGAGCCACTGGGATTAAAGGCATGCACCACCACACCTAACTAGTTTCTTACATTTTTTTTAAATTAAGGAACACAGAGCAATTCTGTTTTTAAAAATGTATATAGTCACACACAGTCTTCCACATCTTAACACAGGCCAGGCATCTGCAACCGGTAACACACCCGCAATGCCTTGGAGGCCATCAGGTTTCTCAGTATCCACTTTCTCCAAGGCATCTTTCTCTTTTTCCTCTGACCTTTGAATGATCTCCCAAGAGCACCATCCTCTCCCCAAAATACACATACCCACAAGTACTCCCGGCCAATGGCCTTGCCTCAAGAGCTGTGTGCCCACACCCTGCTTGCTTCCTCAGGTGCACCAGCCATATTCTCTCCCGTTTCCTTTCCTGGGGGAAAAGCCTGGGTCCTCCATTAACCGAGCTTCTCAGGGACTTCCTTTCAGCAAACTGCCCCCTCCTTGCTTCTGCAGTCCCTCCCTTGCTGGTGCATTTCCAGGACCATATTTATTTATTTTCTTTTCTCCTCATGAAACAAAACACCAGGAGCTCATCATGTCCTTATATTCCATCTCGATTCCCTTCACAGAGAAACTTGTAACAAACGTTGTCTGTCATGGCTGTCTCCAGGGCTCCTCAGGCTGCCACCAGCTCCACCACCCAACTGCTGGTCAGGCAGCTGCCTATCCTGAGACCCCATGCCTCCTCATAACCACACTGCACTCCACCCCTGGGGACCCAGGTGGCTACATCCGTGTTCTTTTGGTGGAGTTCATTGTTCCATGAGGTGGCCCTGCCTGGCCCACTCCTCTCGTTTCCTTTGGGCTTCTCCTCAAACTCCTCCCAGTGACCCTCCTGAACAAGGCTATCTACAACAGTCCAACCCAACACTCCCAACTCTGCGAGACCTCACACCACCATCATTTCCTATTCCCTTAAACGGCTTCGTTTTTCTTCATAGCTCTTTTACTAATATTAAATTATGTTTTCCTTGCCTTTTTATTGTTGTTATCTGTATCTTCCATTTCTTTCATCCCTCTCCCGCTACATACATACACTAGAATGTAAGTCCTCGAAGAGGACAGTCTCTTATTCTCCACTTATTCCTAGAAATGAGAAGAGTACCTGAGAGATATAATAGATGCTCGGTAAATACACATCAATTACATAAATCGCCTAAGCTAAAAAAATGATTCAAATTGTAGAGAACTCAAACTTCTGGGATTTTAAAGTGGATCTTTCTACTCTTTTCGATATTCTAACAGAATCAGGCTTTGGGAATTTTTGAAGAGATAAACACTTTACCTTTCTGATGTCACTCGGATTCTTTCCTCAAAGCTACAGTTCAGTCCTTCCATCTTCTCATGGAAATATTTCTCCACACATTGTTCTTCAAAATCATGAAGTTTTTTCAGATCTTCCTTACTCAGGTAGAGTTCTGTGGTGATGAATTTTATATGTAAAAAAAGATTATTCTTTCCCTTAATGGAAGCCGATACAGGGTACGCTGTGGTTTGGATACAGCTTGAGTGTGTCTCCCAGAGGATCATGTGCTGGAAGCTTGGGGCTCAGTGCAGTGTTGCTGAGGTGGTGAGACCCTTGAGAGATGATCAGACTATGGGGCACCATCCTTGGAAGGGATTAATGTAGATCTCACAGGACCAGTTAGAACAAGCCTGGACCTCCACCCCTTGCTTCCTGTCTTTCCGTGTGTACCTAACCACCTCCATGCATCCCCACCACATGATGTCATCCACCATGTTACAAGATCCTCACTAAAGCCCAACCAGATGGAGCCACCTGATCTTGAATTTTCAGCCTCCAAAGCCACCTACTAAATAGAGATGACCCTTCAACAACATGAGGGTTAGAGGCACTGAGGCCCATGCAGTCAAAAATCCACATATAACATTTGACTTTCCAAAAACCTAAATACTAATAGCCTTCAGTTGACAGTCTTACCAAATATATGATTAATACGTGTTCTGTATGATATATTGTGAAAATTTTGAAAGAACTGTGAGAGATCACTTTTTACTATGATAAGCAATTTACTGGAAAGATGAACTGCTCGTGTGATAATCAGTGTTTCATGCATTTTAAGTAGATAGTTAAAACACTTGAGCTCACCACAACAGGAGTAGGTGGCTATAAGATAATAACAATAATATAGTGTGTAGCACAGTTACTGTTATGTAGTTGTGATTTAATGCTGCATCTTTACATTTGTTTAAATTTCCTTGATTGCAAATGGTACCATAACTATTCTGGCACCATAACTGTTCTATAAATTTTAGTTTTTATATAATTTTGTGCATAATTTGTACTAGTAATATTTTGTGTATATTTTAATGTAGTGATAAAATAGATAACTTTCTATACCTATTTTATGTATTCATGACATAACTTTTTCTTCATTTTCTTGATATTTCTACTGTGTAAAAATGTCTTCAAGTTTTTAAAATTGTCACAAATCTTCAAAAATAAAATCTGCGTAAAAGGGGAGCCTTAAAGTACAAACTATTACAAAGTCAATTGTAAATTTCTTTTCTTCAGAAATAGTTTCAGGTATTTTGCAACAGCAACACACAAAATGGACAAAGGATATGAGGTTTTTTTTTTTCATTTGTATTAAAAATGATCGAACTAGGTTGGGTGTGTAGCTCAGGGGTAGAGAACATGCCTTGCATAAGCAAGCCCCTGGGTTCAATCCCCAGCACCACAAAAATCAACAAACAAATACTTTTAAAAATAAAAATGATAGTAATGTAGCTTGTATGATAAAAGATTGTCACATTGTATTCTTAATATTAATGGAGAAGTACTACACAAAAGCAGCTGGATACATGACCATTTGTAACTCCACATTATGTACAACCATAAGAATGGGAAGCTATACTCCATGTATGTATAATATGTCAAAACACATTCTACTGTCATACATAACTAAAAAGAACAAATAAAAATTTTTTAAAAAAAGAAAGAGTGGAAACACCAGGCTGAGTCTCTCCCACTTATTCTTTGAAAATGATTTATATAGAGAACATACTTTCTTTTTTTCCAATTTTTATTCTAATTTGTTATGTACAACAGCAGAATGCATTCAATTCATATTACACATATAGAGTACAATTTTTCATATCTCTGGTTGTACATAAAATATAGTCACACCATTCATGTCTTCGTACAAGTACTTAGGGTAATTATGACTATCTCATTCCACTGTCGTTCCTACCTCTATTCTCCTTCCTTACCCCTCTCTCCCCTTTGGTCTATCTAGAGTTCATCTAATCCACCCATGCTCCCTCCACCCCCGATCCCATTATGAATCAGCATCCTTAAATCAGAAAAAAAAAATCAGCACTTGTTTTTTGGGGTTTGGCTAAATCCATTTAGCATTATCTTCTCCAACTCCATCCATTTACCTGCAAATGCCATGACTTTATTCTCTTTTAATGCTGAATAGTATTCCATTGTGCATATATACCACATTTTCATTATCCATTCATCAACTGAAGGGCATCTAGGTTAGTTCCATAGTTTAGCTATTGTGAATTGTGCTGCAATAAACACAGATGTGCCTGTGTCCCTGTAGTATGCTGTTTTTAAGTCCTTTAGGTATAGACCAAGGAGAGAGATAGATGGGTCAAATGTGGTTCCATTCCCAGTTTCCCAAGGAATCTCCATACTGCTTTCTAGATTGAATGCACCAATTTGCAGTCCCACCAGCAATGTGTGAATGTGCCTTTTTCCCCACATCCTCACCAACAGTTATTGTTGTTTGTATTTTTTATAGCTGCCATTATGACTGGAGTGAGATAAAATCTTAGAGTTGTTGTGATTTGCATTTCTCTAACTGCTAGAGATGTGGAACATTTTTTCATATATTTGTTGATTGATTGTATAACTGAGAAATGTCTGTTCAGTTCCTTGGCCCATGTATTGATTGGGTTATTTGTTTTGGGGAGGTTGAAATTTTTAAGTTCTTTATTTATCCTAGAGATTAGTACTCTATCTGATGTGCATGTGATAAAAATTTGCTCCCAAAATGTAGGCTCTTTATTCACCTCACTGATTATTTCTTTTGTTGAGAAGAAACTTTTAGTTTCTTCCCATCCCATTTGTTGGTTCTTGATCTTAATTATTGCACTTTACGAGTCTTATTAAGGAAGTCCAGGCCTAATCCGACATGATGGAGATTTGGGCCTACTTTTCTTCTATTAGGTGGAGTGTCTCTGGTTTAATTCCTAGGTCTTTGATGCACTTTGAGTTGAATTTTATGCATGGTGAGAGATACAGGTTTAATTTCATTTTGTTGCATATGGATTTCCAGTTTTCCCAGCATCTTTTGTTGAAGAGGCTATCTTTTCTCCAATGTATGTTTTTGGCACCTTTGTCTAAAATAAGATAACTGTAGGTATGTGGGTTTGTCTCTGTGTCCTCTATTCTGTACCACTGGTCTACAAGTCTATTTTGGTGGCAATATTATGCTGGTTTTGTTACTATTGCTCTGTAATACAGTTTAAGGTCTGGTACAGTGATACCACCTGCTTCACTCTTCTTGCTAAGGATTGCTTTAGCTATTCTGGGTCTCTTATTTTTCCAGATGAACTTCATGATTGCTTTTTCTATTTCTATGAAGAAGATCATTGGGATCTTAATAGGAATTGCATTAAATCTGCATAGCACTTTTGGTAGTATGGCCATTTTAATAATATTAATTCTGCCTATCCAGGAACATAGGAGATCTTTTCGTTTTCTGAGATCTCCTTCAACTTCTTTCTTTGGTGTTCTGTAGTTTTCGCTATACAGGTCTTTCACCTCTATTGTTAGATTGATTCCCAAATACTTTTCTTTGAGGTTATCATAAAGGGAATAGTTTTCCTGATTTCTCTTTCAGCTAATATATCATTGGTGTATAGAAATGCAATTGATTTATTGGAGTTGATTTCATACCCTGATACTTTGCTAAATTTGTTTATGAGTTCTAGAAGCTTTCCAATAGAGTTTTCTAAATATATAATCATGTCATAGGCAAATAGGGATAGTTTGAACTCCTCTTTTCCTATTCATATCTCTTTAATTTCTTTTCTTTTTTTTTTTTTTTTTTTGTTTAATTGCTCTGGCTAGAGTTTCAAGGACTATGTTGAATAGGAGTAATGAAAGAGGGCATTCCTATCTTGTTCCAGCTTTTAGAGGGAATGCTTTCAAATTTTCTCCATTGAGAATGATGTTTGCCTTGGGTTTAGCACATGTGGCATTTACCATATGGAGATATGTTCCTATTATCGCTTGTTTTTCTAATATTTTGAACATGAATGAATGCTGAATTTTGTCAAATGCTTTTCTGCATCTATTGAGATAAACAAGTGATTCTTGTCTTTAAATATATTGATGTGGTGAATTATGCTTATTGATTTCTGTAAGTTGAACCAACCTTGCATCCCTAGAATGAACCCCAATTGATCATGGTACACTATCTTTTTGATGTGTTTTTGTATGCATTTTGTCAGTATTTTATAGAGAATTTTTGCATCAATGTTCAAGGCATTAATTTCCAGGATATACAAAGAACTCAAAAAACTCAACACCAGAAAAATAAATAACCCAATCAATAAATGGGCAAAGGAACTGAACAAACACTTCACAGAAGAAGAAATACAAATGGACAAAAAATAATGAAAAAATTTTCAACATCTCTAGCAATTAGAGAATTGCAAATTAAAAGTACACTGAGCTTCTACCTCACTACCATCTAAATCACAATTATCAAGACTATAAGTAATAAGAAATGTTGGCCAAGATGTGAGGAGAAAGGTACTCTCAGACAATATTGATGGAGCTTCAAATTGGTGCAACCACTATGGAAAGCAGTATGGAGATTCCTTAGAAAATTTGGAATGGAACCACCATTTGACCCAGCTATCCTACTCCTTGGTCTATACCCAAAGGACTTAAAATCAGCATACTACAGTGACCCAGACACATCAATGTTTATAGAAGTTCAACTCACAATAGCCAAGCTATGGAAACAACCTAGGTGTCCTTCAAGAGATGAATGAATAAATAAAATGTGGTATATATACACAATGGAATATTACCCAGCCATAAAGAAGAATGAAATTATGGCATTTGCTGGTAAATGGATGGAAGTGGAGAATCTGATGCTAAGTGAAATAAGCCAGTCCCAAAACACCAAAGGCTAAATATTCTCTCTGATATGTGATGCTAACCCAAAACAAGCAGGGTTGGAAAGGGGAATAACAGAAATCCATTGGATTAAACAAAGGGAAAAAAGGGAAGGGAGAGGTCAGGGAAATAGGAAAGACAGTATAATTAATAGGACATAACTTTCCTAGCCTTGTATTTGCATACGCGACCAGGGTAACCCATATCATGTACAAACACAAGAGTAGTATCCTAAATAGAGCAAGTCATACTCTATGTATATATAAAATTATATATACAAAATACATTCTACTGTCATGTGTAACTAAAAAGAAGAGATTTTTACAGAGAATAGTTTATTAAGTACCATATACTATGTGAAAACTGGGAAAGAAGGTAAATGGTTCAGAAAAAAATAATACTCTCACATAGTAGAAGCAGAAGGAAGGAAGTCTGAAAGAATAGTTAATTTTCACTTCTCTAACTTTTCATATGAGGTAATACATGCTGACTGCAGAGCCTTTAAGAAATCTAAATAAGCAAATGTTTAAAAAGAAATCCTAATTGCACCACTCAGAAATAACCATGTTGATATTTGGGACTATATCATTTTTATCTTTCATTTTATCTCCGTGTTATGTAGTCTTAAATAATAAATATACAGGCTATAGAAAATTTTTAATAAACTGTTCTGATGTGAGTCTTTGCTGTGGACGCCGGAAGCAAACTATTAAAATTGCAATTTCAGAGATGGATGCACCTTGCAAATGTGGAGCATTCCTACGACTATCCGCCAGGTGTCACTGCTGCCCCGTGTGTAAATGTCTCTATCCTCTGTACAAAGAATCGGAAGTAACACCATGAAAATGTTCCACAGCTCGGGGTCAAAGTCACCTTCAATTGAAAAGTTTACTTGAGTTTTTTAATGGAATTGTCCTGTAAGCCATGATAACAGTAAGCCCAGGAAAGCCTCTTTTATAGGACACCAGAAAGTCTGGGCAAAGCCTAACCAATTCCGGGATCTCTTTAATGGTTCACACCCTATTAGGTTGCAATGGTTCTGCAGCCAATGCCTGGGATGTCTCTCTATTAGAAGCCTAAAATTTACAGTATAATTATAAGTCTCCAACTTAATTTCAATTGTGCCTTGGCTTCCTTCTAAAAGCTAAATCTATTGGGAAGAAAATTTTTTAAAAAATCTTCAAAGTGACTCAAGAGGAAAGAAAGTACTTCACAGAACCAGCTACAACTAGCGAAAGAGTATGATGACCTTCCAACCCCATAGCAACATTGTAGGGGACAATATGGCCCCCTATTAATATAAATAGTCCACTATCCCTTATCTGCAATATAATTCAAATTTTTTTCTTTTTTAGTTTTAGAAAAGTAACATGGTATATACATTATAAATAATGTGAACTCCTTAGTTCAGGCTAGAACATTCCTCAAAATCAAAACATTACTATTTCTACAATAAAATCAACGAATAATAATACTGCAGTTCCCTCTTCTGGACCTTTTCTGGCCAAATGAATTTTCCCCAGTTTATTAAAAAAAAAATTAAGACTTTCAGTTTTCAGAAGTATTCTGGATTAAGGAATTGGGATAAAGTATCATGACTTTATGTCACTGACTGCTATGTGTAGGAATTAACCTAGAAATGGACCTGGTACCAACTGTGGGATTTTTGACAGGCATCAGAGAGGGTCTGTACAGCACAATGAACAGTGTTCTCTTAGGACAGTGAGTGGCTGTCATATCATAGTCATGATATGGCAAAGAAGGGCAGAGGGTGTGGTTCAGTGGTAGACTGCTTTTTACACATGCTGGAAGGCCTGGGTTCAATCCCCAGCACCATGAAAAGAAAAAAAAAATTTTAATTAGACTAAACAATTAAACAAGATGAACTAGAAAAATGTCCAAATATGTAGATTTGCACTCTAGAAGAACAAAAAGTGAGAACCCATAATTCCATATTTCTGCATCCTGAATTGAAGTTTTTAAAAATTAGAAATATCCCTTTCAGAACTCCTTTCATCCTCCACAGATGACAGAACCAGAGACCCAGAACTCTAGTTAATCAGTTAAGCAAAGCCTTGCTTCTGTATTTTCCTTCGACCCCAAGGCCTTCTGGAATGGCTTTCTATTTGAATTCCACCTTCCACAACAGGGAAATGAGTAAGGATCAGGTGACGACTCCCTAGGAGTTCCTTCAGTGAGTTACCAGGTCAGCAGGGAAAACACAGGTTCCAGATAACAGAAAGCTTTTCCATATTCAAACACAGATTCTGTCCCTACCTGTTCCTTTCTTTCAAAGTATCACTTATCTTGGCAAAGGGCCAAAAATGAGGTCAATGTATTTACCTAGACCAGGTACACCAGCTGACAGTCTATTGTTAATTAACTCTGTCTTTCATCCTGGGTCCTTGATTTTAATTCTCAGTGCTCCAATGTGTCTTCACCATGGACCTCCACCCTTTACTCTCTTCCTTCCTCCTGCCCCACCAATAAAAACTTACTTAATCCAACGTCACCCTCATCTTGATCATGTGGAGCTCGGTGACAACACAGACCGCGGAGGAGGAGGCCCAGGTGGCTGAGCAGGATGAAAGGTGGAGGCAGCCAGGGCTTCTCATGATACGTCATGATGTAACGATAGCGATTGTATTTCCATAGCTTGTTTGAAATGGATTTCATATCTACGTACACATTGCTGTAAGTTGTAGAAAGAGAGGAACAAGGTTTTAATGTGGGATCCCAAAACAACAGCAGTTAGATTCTTTCTTTAGAGTACAATCTTTCTGATCCTCCTTTTCCACCTCTTTTTTATAGGTCACTTTGGATTTTCCCTTAAATTACATCAGTTATAATAGGAAGACAGTAAATATTGACATTATAAAACTCAAGATGGAAATAATGGTGAATGGTAGTTATTCAAAACAACATATGATCTTTGATGACTTAAGTGTATGATTTGGGGGGAGAGTATGATAGAATATCCACCTTAGCATTTTGCTTGAACTAACAAAATTTAACAGCATAGTTAAATTTGAGTAGAGTGGCTCAATTTAGCAAATAAAAGCACAGGCAAACTAAACTTGAGCAATGATAAGGAGAAGGAATTGGAACTATCCTGGGAAAAGCCAGCTTCAGATAATGGGAGAAGTTTCATAGGATGCATCCAGTGAACAACCCACACATAGGTGGCTGGGTTGGCACAGTGGATCTCAAAGTGCAGCCACTGAACCAGCAGCATCTCATCACCTGAGAACATGCCAGAGTTGCAAATCCTTAGGCCCCATTCCAGAACTACTGAATTAGAAACTCATTTGAGTGGTGAGAACCACTCTATTACAAATTGTCGGTCCAAACATGACTACTGCTTGTCCACCAGCAGATGGCGACATTCATAGTGTATTTCAGATACTTTAATAATTGCTATAATTGCCTTAAAGGGCCCCTGAACAAGTGGTCTGATCTGGGGGTCAGTCAGCTTGTTTGGTCCTCCTTGTGTTCATCTCTAAAATTATAATATGGGTCCATGTGAGGATTTCTCAGCCTCTCTTTTGACACCCAACATAGTGGGGAGGGCAGGAGCTGGGGGGCGGGGTACCAGGAATTAAACTCAGGGGCCCTCAGCCTCAGAGCCACATCCCCAGCCCTATTTTATAATTTTATCTAGAGACAGGGTTTCACTGAGTTGCTTATCACTCAGTGATGGGGCTGGCTTTGAACTCACAATCCTCCTGTCTCAGCCACCCGAGCTGCTGGGATTTCTGGTGTGTGCCATGGTGCCCGGCTGACACCCAACATGTTTGAGAAACAAAAATATTACATCCTATTTTAATATTATATGAGATATCAAAAATAGCCATAGTATACTTAAATATCAATAAATGTACTGCGGTCATAAAACAGCCAGGCTAAGAGAGATGACAGTTAACATATAGTCTTGTAACAAGTGGGAAGATATGTCCTCTATATCCCAGGTGCAAAACCAACATGCACTTTGGGGGAGATATGATTTATTTTGCCTACGTCCAGTCTGTACCTTCTCTACTTTTTTTTTTTTTTAACTTAGCTTCCATGCACTGATTTTCTTTTTCTTACCTTTCTTCAGTGAGATAATCAATGAATAAAATACCCAGCAGAGTGCCTGGCATATAAGAGGCATTCAGAAAATACCAGCCTTTTGCCAATACTGCACTAGTTTGCTTTCATTCATAAAGCATCTACTAAATAAGCAGATGCTCGTTTCTGTGTTTGGGATAAATTTATGAGCAAAAAAATATAGAAAAATATTTCTTCTTGTGGAGTAGAGGCGCTGAATAACAGAATAACATGATAAATAAATAAAACATAAACCAGATTATGTCTATACTGTTTGTGAGCATTAAAACAAAGAAGGGGCACAAGACATGCCAAGGATATGGAAGAGTAAAGAGGGCTTAACTTTGAACTGTAATGCCTAAGTGAGGCCTAGTAGGGCATGAGGGAATGAGCCACATGGCTGTGATGGGGGAGCACTCCATAGGGAACATAGTGTAAATGCATCTGTGTTGTTGAAAAACTGAGAGCAGCCAGTATGTTTGGAGAATGCTATATGATTTGGTATGAGGTCCTTCCCTGTAGCCCCTTTCCCTTTATTTCTCTGTTTCCTGGCCACCATGAACAGAGCAGCTTTCCTCCTCCACACTCTTCCGCCATGATGTTCTACCTCACCATGGGCCCAGAGCTATGCAGTCAGCCCACCGTGGACTGAATCACTGGAACCAAAATCCAAAATAAACTTTCCCTTCTTTAAGCTGTGCTTGTCAGGTATTTTGGTCCCAGTGGCAAACAAGCTGACTAAAACAGAAATAAGTTAAAGGGAAAAGTGGGATGAAGGATGATTTAAGAAGATTGGAAGCCAAATCACATGGGCCATATAGGTCATTGTAAGGATTTTGATTTTTGCTCAAAGGAAAATTGGAAGCCACTCAAGGGTATGGAGCAGAGGAGTGACCTCATCTGACATATGTTTTTAAGGGGTTTTAATTGAGCTACTGTGTTGAGAACAGAATAGAGGGGCCAAAGACTGAAGCAGAAAATTAAATGAGGAGGCTCTATGGTAAGAGCAGGGTAGTGAGAGGTGGTCAAACAGGCAAGGGCTGACTCAATCTCAGTTTCTAACAGTTTAGAGACAGAGATAACAACAGTCATTGAGAATGACTCCAGCAGGTTTCTAAACAGCTGAAAAGATATTGTTTCAAAAGAAACTCATGTTCTTCCTCACAGATTTGCAATCCACTAGTAATAGAGTAAGTATACACTGAGAAAGAGAGGAATCAAGAGTCTGGACAGTTTAAATTTAAAAGAAACTACTACATTTCTGACTAGTGATGGAAGAGGACAGTTAAATCTACCTGACTGGGGTATAATAAGAGCCGGGCTAGAGATATAAAGTGGAATGAGTCAAGATACACGGGAACTGGACAAGATCACAATAAATAAATACATACATAAAGGAAAAGCAAGGTCTGGCCCAGAGACACAAAGATGAACCATAAAAAGGAGATGTAGATAAAGTGAAAAATGAGAGAGAAGAAAAGAGAGAACGAGATATTCTGAGACCCATGGGTAAAAGGTGCATTAAGAACTCCTTAATTAAGGACCCATAAACTATTGCTCTTTCATTAACCTGACTCTCTTAATAACAACTCAAGATCTCTTCCCATGATGCTCTCAGTACGTTTTCTCTCTATTGATAATGATTCATTGCCTCACATGCTCTGCTTCCTTCCTACCAGGATTTTCGTGCCTATGCTTTAAAGCCACAGTAAATAAAACATGAAACACAAAAACAGAGGTAATATTCTCAACATACATGTAAATCTCCTCTACATGCTTTGCCACAGTCTGGCTGGGCACAAATGCCGCAGTCTGGCTGGGCACACAATCACGAGCCACCACACAGCTTGTAGATTCAAACAGCAACTCTTTATTCCCGAACTCACACCAGCCGTCTACAATCACGTTCTGGGGAAATCCACGTTCTCAGCCCAAATTCACCTCCACTGGGCTTCTTTCTCCAAAATATACTGTCTGAATCCCGTGAGAACTCAAGGGGAACTCAGGCAGCAGGATACGCCCTATTCCCAGGAGGAATAATCTTAAACCTTAAACCTGGAACCTAAACTGGGAACGCCCTAAACACGATTATCTTAAAACCGGGTACACCCTAATCTGCCTTGGTCCTTGAGCAAGGTCACCTACATTCAATGTCGCTGCAACATGTCAGCAACATGGGGTACGCTGGCAAGGAAATTGTCATACCTACTTGGCTAATGGCTCCCAGCAATGCTTGTCCCCAGCTTATATTTAAATAAAACAAGAAAATATAATTAAAATCACCTACTTGAAGAAGGCAATCAACAGGTTCACCATGATGATGTATTGCACGAAGAGGTAGACAGCTTGCAGGAACGGAGTAAGAAAAGCACCCGGAGGGCAAGTCGGCTGGCTTGAACAAACTACACACAGAGAATGTAAATGAGTGAGAGAGATGATCAACCACAGTCCCCAAACCCTCCCCAGACACTGAGCACTTGAACTTTGCAAAATGCCAAACTTTATGCACTTCTTAGATTCAGATAAGTACTCTCCAGATTATTTTTTTTTAACTGAGTATCTATGAAGGTTCAATTTCTGCATGTTGGCCAAATCCCCTATGTACCATCTATCTCTGAAGCGTAGACTTCTCCATACATCATCCAGTATGGCTCAAACACAACATCTCGAGCGAGGCTCCAAGACGGAGGCTCCTTTGGCGAAAGGATGGCTTTGCGCGCCACTCCAAAGCTCAGCAAGACAATGGCCATCATGATGACAATGTAAAACATGTTTGCTGCCTGCAAAATAGCACAGCTCAACTGGAATTTTACCACAGATTTGAAATTTAAAAAAAAATAAATACTAGCAGCCATCATAATTACATTTATCAATAACATTGTCTAGTCATTAACTAAAATGCCCTACTCTATAAACAGCTGGATTTTCTTTGGCAAATTATTTCCTTTTCTCTGCACAGTACATGTTTCAACTCAAACTGATCTATGGAACCACACAAATATGCTGAGTAGAGAATACGTGCTGCTTTTTTTAAACAGTAATATATATAAAATGTGAGCAGCTTTTAGTTAATATCCAACTTTTTGTTTTGTTTTGTGATACTAGAGATTTAACCTAAGGGGACTTTACCACTGAGTACATTCCCAGCCCTTTTTATTTTTTATTTTGAAACAGGGTCTTGCTAAGTTGCCCAGGCTGGACTCAAACTTGTAATACTCCTGCCTCAGACTCAGTAGCTGGGATTACGTGTGCACCACTGCACCTGGATGCTTTCCCACACTCCTTATTTCACTGGTATTAGGTTGGGGCCATGAGACCCATTCTAGCTCACAGGCTGTGGAATGACAGAAACTTGGGTCACCTCCTGTTCGGAGGTGTAAAAAGCCATTAGATTCTCTATCCCTGTCATTCTCTGCTATGAGAAACCTTAGAAGCTACAAATGGGATATGACTATGCCACAAAATGGAGGGGTTCTGTACCCCCTGAGTGACTGCATAGAGACCCATGACCTTGTACTAAGACATTGAGATACACTAGTTACATCATACAGTCCATTAATAAATACCAATGTCACCAAGACTAGAGAAAACAATGAAAAGTAAGAAAAATCTGTCTCTGGACTCCTGCAGGTTCTCCCTTCTCTGTCACCTTCCTGTGTTTTAGCACTACTCCTACTCTCCAGAACTTGTCCCTTCCCCGTCAGCAAGTGGTCTAGAAGGAAAAATCAATAATAATGGTCTTGGGTATGTGCCAAACGTCAGATGGAGAAACTGACACAACTATACGGCAAGCTCAGATGACAGACGGAGCCAGGTGGCCGACTTTGGGATCCTGGCTCCCCTACACATGTCCTTGAGTTTACTTAACCTCCATTCCTTGTATGTAAAATGTGGCTAATAATTATACTTGTCCCATAAAGATGTTATGACGACTAGAAAGTTCATATACACAAGGTACTTAGTACAGTGTGTGGCCCATAGTAAGTACTATATTTGAGTGTGGTAAGGGTGCGTGATAAAAGACTAATTAACACTTCAGCAGAAAATATTCTTGGTGGTAGCCTCACACAAATCTAACACATGAAATTATTGTGCTCCAAGACTAATTTGACTCAATTCCATATTAACCAAAGGAGTATCTGGATCAATGATCCAATGTGTCATCCTTCATATTAAATCATTCATATTAAATATGAACTTGTGGTTATATAGAAAACAGTGATAAAATGATCTGTCTGTGCTTCTAGAACTAATCCCCAAAGTTAAACTATTCTATATGAACCATGAAATTAGGCAGAACCATAACAAAGAACACTTGCATATAGAAACCAGACTGTACTCACCATTTTTGCAATCATGGTCACATATGGACCTGCATGTTGATTCACAGCAAAGAAGTCCATGAGCCGTGAGAACCAGAATATGATGTCTATACAGTAGATTAGTCTTCCTGCTGTGTGAAAAGGAGGGCTAGCCAACCGAAGGCCAAAACCAACTGAAAACAGGCCAATGGCCACAGTTTCCATTAAGTTCCAGTACTCACTAATCCATACCTTCACCTTTTGAGTAATCTTCCCAGGTTCCGAAATACAGATCTGAAGAAGAAAGAAAGGGAAATTTTTTAAAATGAGGCAGAGGGGTGGGGGTGCAGCTCAATAGTAGAGTGCTTGCCTAGCATGCAGAAGGTGCTGGTTCAATCTTTTTTTGCACTGCCAAACCTAACATCACACAGGGATTTGAGACGAAAGTTATTCTAGGTAAAAAAAATTATTAAACATGGGTCTGGGATTGTGTCTCAGTGGTAGAGCGCTTGCCTAGCACGGGCGGGATCTGGGTTCGATCCTCAGCACCACATTAAAAAAAAAAAAAGGCATTATATTGTATCCATCTATACCTAAAAAATAAATATTAAAAAAAATGATTAAACAATTCTAGAAATATATTTTAATGCTTGTTAATTAAAATTAATTAAAAATTAAATTAATAATGTTAGCATTAATACTAGTTAATTGAAACTCCCCTAGAAATTTTTTAAAAAAGGAAAATAGTACTTTTCTAGCTTTCATTGATCCAAAACAAAGATGAGAAGCATCAAGACAATTTAAAACTCAGTATTGGGCTGGGGATATGGCTCGAGCGGTAACACGCTCTCCTGGCATGCACGGGGCGCTGGGTTCGATCCTCAGCACCACATAAAAATAAAAATAAAGATGTTGTGTCCACCAAAAACTGAAAAATAAATATTAAAAAATTCTCTCTTTCTCTCTCTCTCATTCTCTCTCTCTTTAAAAAAAATAAAAATAAAAATAAAACTCAGTATTGCAATGGATCCACATCACTATGATTCCACTCCATGAGATCAATAGAATGCAGAGAATACTGGATTAAAACCAAAAAATCTAGTCCTACCACAGCAATTTAGCGAATTGTTAACAAACTAGTAGGAATATGATGTTGGAACTTACTATCATAAGAAATCACCCTTGAAATACTTTACAAACTGAAATGTAAAAGCAAACATGTTCTCCCTGAATCCTAAAAAATTCAAATGTTTCTATAATGAATTGTTTGCTATAATCTTTGAACACCACATAAGTAACTAGTAGGCAATATAGGTATAATTACTAAAAATACATAGTATTATTATAGTATTATTATTATAGTTATTAATATTATTATAATTAATAACATATTATTATATGTGATTATTATTATACTTACTTAGTATTTAATGTTGCTCAAATGGTAATAGGACAAAATAAATGTATGTAAGTGCATAGACAAAGAAATACATATACAATGACATCTAAAACAGTCTAACTATTTGTGATTGTAGCTATAACTGCAAACAAATGTTAATTTTTAAGTGACTCAGTGCAAACTAGAAATGAAAGCTTGTTTGCTTCGTTTCTTAGACTACTTGCAATGAGTCCAAAGGGATTTTTAGCTTCAATTTTCAAAGTTGTTTAGTAGGAACTTTCAAATGCTGTAAATGAATTCCTTATGTATTCTGCAACTTCAGCCTTTACGTACCGCTCTGTCATGTAAAATTGATAACACATAGATAATGCTAGGCCATAAAAAATCAATCCCACAAAAAATATGCACTTCATGGAAATCAAATAGTTGGAGGGTTAATAACAATTAGATGCATCACCTGTCTATTCTAGGACTTACAAACATACTAAGTCCTTAAGAGATAAGTGCTTCAGAGATAACTGCTTCCAAAGTCCAGTAACCAGCAGAAAGTATTTGATAAGGATGAAGGGTTAAAATCGGGGAATTTTCCCCCAAGGATCTTCTTGGAGCATGTAAATCAGTATCAGAATATTCTCTCTCCCACCCTCAGCTGTCCCTTTACATCACCAGACCTGAGAACAACTCTACCAGAGGTAAGCAGAGGACGAGAAATTATACCCCATTTGATTCAAATGTATGATATGTCAAGATCATTGTATTGTCATGAGCAACTAATAAAAAAAAAAATAGAAGGAAAACTCACCTCCCTGACTTTCTCAATAGCATTGGTGAAGATGTAAATGATAACAAGCCACTCTTGCACGCTGGGTTGGGGCTGCATCTCCACCAACACAGTGTAAGTGAACAGCATGAGGAATGCCAGATATGCCATCTGTGAGGGGACACACATTCCCTGGATGTGAGTGCCAGCAGTCATGGAGGATGCCAATCAGACACACAGAGAGTCCAGAAGAAACACAACCATGAATTTCAACATGATAACACAAAAACACATCGGGGGCCACCTTCAAATTATTGGTGACCTAATATCAAGGAAATCACAAGAATCTATGGTTTTCTAGTCTAAAATTTGGTGGCAGAAATGAAAATCACTGTTCTCAGATGAATGGAAGGGGATACTGTCTCATCCTGTTTACTTCACACTGGAATTTCCAGTACCCTGCACATTCCAATGTGGATACTAGCAGACTAACAGCAAGCCAGAGAAGAATCTCATGGCTCCCTTCAATTTAAACATCGACAGTATGTCTGCCAAATATGTCCGATGAGCAACATCAGTGGAGTGTGTCTTCAAATACAATGAGTTGTGACATTTACTACACTGGGAATATTAATTTATGTTGATTAAAATATTGTGGCTGATAGAAAAGTTTGCCCAACTGTAATCCCTTGTAACTATAGACTGTTTGTGGCTTATCAGCACTCAGAACTATGTCTGACACATGGTAGACATTCAATCCATGTTACATATTATACCTAGATTTCTAATCTCTTCAATGAATTAAAACATAATAAACACATGCATAAATATACATAGTGAGTAACAGCTTTGTAATCTTATTTAGTATTCTTATCTTCTTAAGATTTATACCCAGAAGCTGGGCACACACATTGGAACTGAGACAAATCTTAATAAATTATCCACCAGAAAGGCTTTACCAATTTACATTGTCACCAACGAGTTATGAATCATGCAGTTGTTTAAACAGCTTTGGAGAGAAGACACAGCACTTGCTGACCCATACTTATTTCTAAAAATCCTAAGTCCACAGAGAGAAAAATGTCTGTTTTGTTCTCACAAGAAACATTAGTTTAACCTTGATCCTTATTTTTCATGCCTTTTTGAATTCTAAGTTGGTAAGTCTGGTTCTAAGTCTGGTTCTAAGTCTAGTTCTGTACAGGTAACAAAGAAAATGGCTTAAACCATTTCTGACTACACTAGAATGATATTATTTACAGAAGGTGGCATTTGTGGGTAGCCACTATAGATCTAACTGCCTGTAAGTTAAGGAACTATAGAACAGAATCATATAAAAAAAGTTAAGGTAAAGTTAACTAATTCTATACTTGTCTTTTATCTCAATGTCTACTCTTATGACTTCCTAGGGACATAATTTAAATAAATTTATTCTACCAAAGCAGTTATATTTTTTTTTTGCATTTTCATCATTGATTTCATAGTAACCAGAAAAATTAATCCCTTAATTTTTATTCCAGGGTGTATTTTTATTCATACATTATTTATATTTTCATCCATTTGTCTATAGTTCCTTTGTATTAATACTTGCCTATCCCCTGCTTTATATTTGAATAATTTATATAATTTAATATATAATTAATATTATTATATATAATTTAATATATATCATTTATCATTTAATAATCAGAAATCGTATCCTCTACTCAACTGCAAAGTTCTGGAGGTCAGTGACTATGTTTGACAACCTGCTTTCCACCTACCTCTCGTGCTTTGTACTGTGCTTCAGAAAGAACAATAAGCTTTCAGTTAAATGTAATTGAATGGTTTGGACCTTATGTCATCTTCAGCCATAATACATTTTCTTCTAACATATGTAGGTATGACTATATGAACGTAACAGATTTACAAACAAAAAGACAACAAATGCATCCAACAAATAGATACTGAGCTTGAACTTAATATACGGAGCACAAGTTCCTCTAATTAAGAACAGGTTGGGTTCTTATCCGCTATTTTCAGTCCATTTGCTCATTAGTCTAGAGTGACCTTTTACAAGGCTGCAAGCAACCCAAGTATTCACCTCTAGGAAAAACAAGGCTGAACTAAAACTCTCTAGTTACTTATGGTTTTGCTTTTGACTCTTTTTGTTTCTTTCCAATATGAAAAATGTGATCTACAAAAATGTTTACATTTTTGCTTTTACATCACATTTGCAGCAAGATGCAGTACAGCACACACAGCAGAGTCCAGCAATGCGGAGCCAAGACTCAAACACTAGAGTGCACTGCTTGTACCATCTGTTATGGTGGGCAGATCCAGATGACTTGGATCTACTGCTCAGTTTTCCTCCACCCTCTAAAAGCTCTCGAGGTTGGAAATTTCTAAGGAAAGAAACATGCAGATATTTAGAGTCTTTTGGGATTAACTCTTTTCTCAATAATGGTACTACTCTCAGCACTGGGCAAAGTGGCTCATGCATATAATCCCAGTGGCTCAGGAGGCTGAGACAGGAGGATCAAGTTCAAAGCCAGTCCAAGCAATTTAGCAAGACCCTAAGCAAATCAGCAAGAGCCTGTCTCAAAATAAAATATAAAGAAGGGCTGGGATGTGGCTCAATGGTAAAGTGCCCCTTGACTCAATCCCTGGTACAAAAAAAAAAAAAAAAAGAAAAGAAAGAAAGAAACTCTCAGGGCTCCTACTGGTTTCTCAAATATTTTTTTGCAAATTCAAAAAAGTAGTGAAACCATATGTGCCGCAGTCTGGCTGGGCACAATTCAGGAGCCACTTGTTAAAAGAAACGAACTTTATTTTTAGAACACACACACCGCACCACACAGCTCTTCAGGAAAAACCCTCAGAGCCCAACTGCCACCACCGGCTTCCCACAAGCCTCTCAACCTCCCCCACTCCTCCTGCTCTTGAGGCCGATTGGCTGGGTCATGTGGGCGGAGCCAAAAAAGTCCCCCAATGAGCAGGTCTGTGGTCTGAAAGGGCAGGGAAACAACCCAATGAGCATCACCGCAGAGGAGCCAATCAGTTGGCAGCTAGAAGTTTGCTGGCAGCTGGAAGTTGCCTGGGGCCCCTTCGGCTGTGGCTCTCAACACACGTCCTTTGAAGTGAGATTTGATTTTTAGAAACAGATAAAAGTCTTTCAGAGTTAGATATTTATTCAATAAATATATGAAATAAGTGTGTGGTTAGCCAAGTACATATTGTGAAATATAACTCATTTAGATAAATATCTTTTAATAGTCACACTTCAAATGTTTAAGAAATACAAAACTTTGGCTAAGAACATTTTAAGTATAACTAAGCATTAGAAAAATAAATGCTACTAACAATGTGAAAGCACTCAATACATTAAATTAAATTAATTAATTAATTCACACTTTCTCTGAATCTTTGCTATCTATAATAGAGTTGATATTTGATGGCACAATTCAGATTCTAAACTTTTTATTATCCACACATGCTGTTGAAGACAAAAACAAACACTTGCATTTTTGTCTATGTCACACAAACAATTATTATTAATATTAATGGCATTCCTACAAAGAAAAGCTTGATTCAACTGCTGATTTTTCTTGCCCCACATGGGAAAAGAATCCACTTAATCCTACAGACACTGCTGTTAATCTTGTTGTTTCTCAAAGCTCCAAATGCTCAGTTCCATCTGTGCTAACTTCAAACTCTCTAAGGGAGAAGAATACACATGCTCTCAACTTCCCAATGTCTACTCTGGCTTCCCATGCCCTCTCCAATCCTCTTTGTGTCTCCTTTGTCTCTTTTTTCCCTGCATTTCTATACTTTTATCCCAAGTTGGAAAATCAGGTACTTCAGTGTCCACTTTACCATGAGCTCCTAATGGTCATTAATACTATTTATACTGCTGTAGTGAAACCAACCGTGTAAAACCAAAACTTCACAATGGGAGCGCTGTAGAACTCATAGACTTTCCTAGTCCAAGGAAGGCTTTTGGGCCCATTTGTTAAATCAAAGTGCTGATTTTCATCCACTTTCTCATCAGGGCCCCTCTCCAAATCACAGTCTTTCTGTAAAATAAAAAAACAATTTTCAGGGTGCAATTCAGTGGTAGAGCTCATGCTTTGCTTCTATGAGACCTTGAGTTCAACCCTCAGCACTTCCACCAAAATAATTAATAATAATAATAAATCATTTTGTAGGCACCTTAACTCAAATGTTGACAGGTATGGAAATCTAAAACATCGTAAATGATATATTATAAATGAATTGTCCAAATTATAGGCTTAGCCTTAATCGTAAATGATATATTATAAATGAATTGTCCAAATTATAGTCTTAGCCTTAAAGAGAGAAAACTGCATATGTTACATAAATCTTTGACCAGGTAAGGAACATAGGATATTTCTGAAATGCAAACTGAATTTCTAGTAATCAAACCCAAAGTAAGAATAATTCTAAGGAATTACAAATGTTCGCTGTTCCTGTTCTGATTAATCTCCTTTAGCAGTAATTTTGGAACTTCGTGGTAAAAGCAATAACATGTTACATTTATTTCCTTAATACAAGAGGACAAAATGGACATGAAATCAATAATGCCTCTACTCCAGATCATGGGAAGTCAGCCACAGTGTTCATTTAGGATTCTGACCTCTAGCAGCTTTCCAAGTATTTAGAGCTGAGACGCTCTTAGCCTGGAGTTCACGGGCCCTCTGCTCAGGAGTTCCTTGGACACCCTGCAACTATATGCAGGTATTTGTGTTGTATGTGCATATTGTTTTTTTAGGAAAAGAATTAAACCTTTCATCAGCTTCTTAAAAATTATATGTCAGCCTAAAAGCAGTAACCCTTGTAGGTGATGAGCATGAGAACCTGTGGGACATGATCACCTGAGTGTGACCACACCCATGCCCACAGAGAGCAGGCTTTTGAAAAAGGAAACATGAGAAACGATATGAAAACAAAAAAGCACCTGTAGCCTAATTGTCATGATGAAGGAGAATATAGAAGCAAAAGGGAAGCAGGAGAGCTATACCCTACTTTATTTCTATGGGACTTTAATTTTTACTGGGAAATGCATTCATTTCATAATTTTAAAGTAATACTAAAAGAAAAGAAAGGAATATTCTCTGCTACTTCTCACCCTAACCCATTCCTTCAAACTAGTCACAAAAGTTCCTTCCCTAATGTCTATCCTGCAAGGTTAGCAAGATTTTTCAAGCTCAGAAATGAATCAAATTTTGTTTGAATTGTTTATAAAACAGCAAAAATGTAATTTTCAAGGCCTTGGGCATCCAGATGGGTTATCTTTAGTGCCTGTTTGTTTAGTTTCCCTCACTTTGTGCAGTGGAATTGAGGTTGTGACTTAGAGATGTAGGAACTGACCTGGTTCCTAACAGGTTTGAACAAGCCTCAAGTGAAAATGGCTGAAAACCAATTAGAAAAGTCATCATTGACTGAGATTTAATGACACCAATACCACTTCAAAAATACCCCAGAAATCAATCATTAAGTAATGATCTTTCTATCGAATGACTTCTCTTATTTTTTCTAAGAGTGTTTCATTAGGCCTGAATTACTCCTGACAATTTAGAATGGACTATAAAGTATATAAAGTGACAATTGAGCCTATCTCTGAGTTGTCAAAAACAAATGCCATCAGAAAGTCAATATGGGACTTCTGTTCATGACTTCTGTTTTTTTCTTTAGAGGACGGCAGAGACAAAAATACTTGGCTTAGTTAGCTTGTTCATTCCATTCAGGTCCCTCTCTCTTTCTCTCTCTGCCTCCCTCCCTCTCTCTGTTCCTCTCCTCCACTCTCTTTCTCTCTAATACCAGCAAGTACACAAAATAAAATTACAACCACAACACTCAACCCTGATGCAGGTAGAATAGATTATTCAACCTGCTTAATTTTTTTCAATTGCTATTTATCAACCTAAGACTGAGTTCATCTCTCCCGTTCCAAACCTACTCCATTTTCATTCATTCCTGCATCCCTTTCAAGGCTCCTTGTGTACCCACCAATTTCTCAATCACATTTGCCATTTCCCTTTAACTCATTCCCCATGCTCAACTGACTCTTCATTAAAATCTGTCATTTTCTCTCCCAATCTATTGCTACTGATCCTGGATAATGCCCGTATTACTTCTCACAGGAGTGTTCTTCCTGACCCATGTTCTCCCTGCCTTCATCCTGTCTTGGTGTTAAACCATCCTATGCACTGCAGGCAGTATAATTTTCCTATTAGTCATACACGTTCACTGGTTCTCCAATGATTAAAATGGAATTCATAGAGTAAAGCAAGCAGATCCAGAGGAGGATGGAGGGGAGGAAGAGGGAAGGTGCTGAGGAATGAAAGTAACCAAATTATCTTTATGTGCATGAATGAACATGCATAATGAATGCCACTGTCATGTATAATTAGAATATGTATAATAAAGATATAACTCTTTCCTTCATAGGGCATACAAGAATCTCTACAATTTAACCTCAACTTACTTTTCAAGCCATGCCTACAGATCCTTCCATGCCTACAGATCCTCCATAACAAACAATGGCACTTGTGAAGTTCGCTGATGCCTTGTTATTTCCTGCCTCTGTGCCACTTCCTGTTGTCATTCTCTTTTCCCTCTCCACATCTTCAAGTCTCAACTCAAACATCACGTCTATCATGAAGCTGTCACCAACCCCTAACCCTCAGCTATGGGCTGAGGGTTATCTTCCATGGGTAAGCCCACTCTGCCTCTTCCTGTAGTTCATTCCTAAGACAGCCCATGGCATCCAAATTCCTGCTTTTAAGAAATTGGCAACTAGGAAAACTTAAATTTCTCTTGGCAAAGTAATTTTGCCCATTCAAATTTCAATGAGGAATTTTACAAAGCCTCACAAAACAAATACAGTATTTGATTCTGTATAGTTTCAGCACGAGAATAATGGCCTTCATTCTCCTATTACTATACATATTCTCATTATATTTATATTTATTATTTCAAAGGCACTCCAAAGGCATCTACTTTTTTTGCCTTCCTCTAGTTTTCTCCCACAATACATAATGCAAGTTATGCTCCTCAATTAATTAATCACATTGGCTGAATATGCATTATGAAATCTTGTATATCCCAACAAACTGTTGCTCTCATCCTTACCCAGCAAAATTCTAAAACCTAGTCAGCTAATCAATAAGTGTTGCTTAAGTAAAATTCAAAGATTAAAGAAAACGTGTTCCTATGATTATAAGTTATTTGTAATACACATATGTGAAATACTTTTTTATAACTGATTTATGATTTAAAATGAATAATGGTGAGGCATCATGGACATTCTGTCTGATGATAAACCCAGAGGGGCAGAGGCCACATTTGACTAGCTCAGGTATGTGAGAGATGACTTCCCACACATTCTACAGAGGTTGAAATGTACCTGGCCTCTTGGATTCTAAGAATCCCTGACAGACTATCAAGCAGAAGGAAGGAAGGAAGGAAAGGAGGGAGGAAATAGGGAAGGGGGCAGGGAAAGAAGAAGGGGAGAAGGAAGGAGGGGAGAGGAACACACACATACCCAAATGATAGTGATGGTTAAAATAGTTAACTACCTATCTGACAGAAGCATCAACCAATCAGAATGGCTATTCAACCAAATACAACAGATGCCAATCATAAAACACTAATTACAAATAATTTTCACTTAGCATATACTGAATGTATTTTTAAATATTATAATACATACTTTATAAATGCAAAAGTACACCAGACAGGATTCTAAAGACACTTCCTTCATGTGTAAGTACCTAAGAAGACATTACTATACCTCATAGTAAATGATGATTTTATAAGCAATGACCCAATTAGAAACATGAAAAGCAAAGAACATATTCAGAGCATACTGGAAACTCTGCAGTTAAGATGGGCTGTGGCAGAAGTAGCTCAGACAGACCACACATGTGGAACTCATAACTCCCCTCGGCCACTGAATATAACATATGGAAAGATCTGTGGAATGGAACTGGGAAGATTGGCACAAATTCTAAACACAGATCTTTAGGAACAAGCATTTTAGGAACATGAGGCATTTTTCATTGTTGCCTTAGAATAGTGAGTCAATTTACTATACTAGTTGCAAAGGAAAATGAAAACTTAGACACATGTTAAGTATAATAAAGTCTTTGATTTGGGCTTCAAATTAGAAATGGAGTATTTCGTTCAATACTCCATAGTTAATTAGGCCTTTCATATATGTCACGCTTGACCACAATATAATAATATTAAGATTAGGCTGAAGAAGGACAGGGGCTGTAGCTCAGTGGCAGAGCGCTTGCCTCGCATGCATGAGGTACTGGATTCAATTCTCAGCATCACATAAAAATAAAAAACAAATAATCTAAGGGCATTCTGTTCATCTACAACTACAAAAAAAAAAATTAGGCAGAAGAGAACCATGTGCTTGATTGATGAGTCAGGCATTTGAGAATAATGCATAACCCTAGGGCACATCCCTGGCAACAGGAATTTTGTTTACCACATTACTATATAAATAAACATTGTGGGTATGTCTATTTGTATACAGTCAATACCATAAAAACTCAATTTACTATGTCACACTGACCATACAAGCACTTTCTTTGCTACTGATGGGGTTCTGGTCACCATAATACCATGTAAACTGGAAGTCCTGGGACTGGGGAACATGGGACATCTCAGCTTTGCTTTTAAATTCCAGTGTCAAAATGGTGGGTGGTAAAAGAATGCTTATGATGATCTGCGAAAAAAAATAAAATAAGTAAGAAAGGATACACAGATGCATGTAGCACTCAGATAACAAAACTAAGATTTTAAGTGTCTAGAAAATATCAGATCCATTCCCAATTCAATTTATATCCTGATTCTATTCATATTTGTTGACTCAGCAATTTCATTTCTACAAGTGTTTCCCTAAGAAATACTCCAGAGTACAAACATGTAGATACAGATGTTCACTGTAGGGTTATTTACAAAAGCACAAAACTCATGTGACAACCTAAACATTCATCTATACATTGACAGCCAGCACGGAACAACATAAAAGTGAAGTAATACCCAATCATTAAATGACAAATACAATGTTGAAAAGATTATCCAGGAAATATTGTTGAGTGACCAAAAAAAGAAAAAAAAAATCATACAACAGTGATCCCATTTAAAAAAAAATTAAACTTTAAATATACGATCATAGACATATATGCATTTTAAAGTTTAGAAATATGTAGTATAACATACTATACAGTATACTATGCCAGCAGGACCTGGGCAAGGCAATGCAAGTATTATTTTTCAATGAATACATTGTTTTAATAATTTTAAAAAAACTTTAAGTATATATTACCATATAAAACATATTAGAATTTATTCATATTTTTAAATCAAGAATATAAAAACACAAAAACATATCTATCTCCCATCCTACACAAATATATTGTCTGCCAGTAAGACCCAATTTTTTCATTATATTGCTATCATTTATAAATTATTAATAGTTTTTTTCACAATTATTTGTAAACTGTGTGCTGGTGCATGCCTGAAATCCCAACTGCTTGGGAAACTTAGAAGGATTGCAAGTTCAAGGTCAGCCGGGGCAACTTAATGAGACCCTGTCTCAAAATTAAATGAAAAGGTCTGAGGCTGTAGGTCAGCAGTAGAACACTTACTTAGCATGCACAAGGCCCTGGGTTCCATCCCCAACACACCCCAGCCCCCCAAAACAAAGAAGAAGATGTTTTTTGTCCAACTTATATGGCCTTCAAGGTGAAGTGTTTGGAAGACTTAATAAATGCTGTAAAGATCACTTGCTAAATCCTACCTGTTTTTAGCTAACATTAAGCCTCGGTAATATGGGATTGAGTGAGCAAAAATAAAATTAAGCCTGACTACCCACTATTCATGTTTTAAAAAACTGAAGTCATGCTTAAATAATTATTTTTTCTTTTGCAGTACTGGAATGGAACCCAGGGACTCACACAAGCTAAGAAAGTACTCTATCACTGCGTTACGTTCCCAACTCCTGCTGGGTTGTTTATTTTATTGTTTTGTTTTAGTATGATTTCCTGTAAGGACTCTCTGGGATTGGGGGAACAGCTCAGTGGTAGAGCGCTTGCTTAGCACAATGAGGCACTGGGTTTGATCCTTGACACCACATAAATAAATAAATAAATAAAGGTTAAATTCTTTAAAAATATATATGCATATATGTATATATAGGTATATGTGTGTATTCTTATGTAGTTCTTAATATTCATGATTTATCTCCTTCTATTTAGTTTCAGAAGCACATTCTATAGGTTGACCACAACCTAAAACTGTAAATTTAGGTTCCATGTCAAAGGTTAAATGTCCTTTTTACTTAATTCATTTTACTCTTGGTAATTTAAGATGAAGGAGGAGCAAAGAATTTGGAGATGGTTATTGGTGTGAAGAAACGAGTTTGAGGGCAGCCTTATAAAAGAGTCACTGGGCCCTGAAACAGCACATTGGATGAGAATTGCCAGACATCGCTAATCTTACTTAGCTTACTATCTATTAGTGTTTGTTGTTATTGTTTTGTTTTGTTGTTATTTTGGTGCTGGGATTAAACCCAGGGCCTCACACATGCTGGATGTATACTCCACCAATGAGTTACACCCCAGCCTCTGTTAGTATTATTGTTTTTTGTTTGTTTTTGTTTTGTTTTGTTGTCTTTTTAATTACAGTTTGATCAGAAAGTATTCTTAAACTAAGAAAAATTTCCCTGAAAAGTCTCCTTTACTTCTGTCAGGATTCTCCCAGGCAGTGGCATGTAATAATAACAACACCTACATGTTTGAATCTGCTTAACTTCTTCTCCCCTCCTTCACATGGGTCTTTGACCGGACATGTTCAATTACTCCCATTGTTGAAAAGTAACTGTGTCAATGGCAGACAAAGTAGTTTTTGGAGATGCCCCTGGAGATGCCCCTGTGAAAATCCTGCCTCATCTGTGAGAAGATAGCAACTGGTTTTCCTGTGAGTTCCTTGCAGGAACAAACAAAAAAAAAATGGAGCTCAAGAATATAGACCTTTCCACTGAACCAACATTAAACTCTGTAAGGAAAGTCAATTTACCTTCAGCCAAGAGTTTTTCCTCATTTTCAGGCGCCCCATCCACATGTCTGTCAGCAGCATTTGGGTACAAGAATGTGAAACAAAGGGACGCAGCCCTCCAGACACAGCCAGTTTCAGGCAGGTAGAATTGCTCCAGTTCTTGAGTTCGTATGTCAGCAGCTTCATGGCCATTCGCTCGTTCTGCTTGAAGGCCTTCTCCAACACATCCAGGGCCAGCTGGCCAAACTGCCTGCAAGAACACAGTGGTGAACGGAGAATGCAAGGCCAAGGAAGAGCTCCAGAAATGTTCTAAAAGATTGGATAGGAGACTCAAAAAGCACCAATTAGGCTTTATTTAAGAAACATTAAGAATCTCAGTTTGCAGAAGTTAAAGGAAAGGCTGCTTAGGAAAGGGATTTTTCTCCTCTTCATGAAGGAACAAAACCTCAGAGGAGTTTCCTGGTAGCATATGGAATTTAGTTGACACCTGACTTATTCACAGGGAGGAGTCAGTGCACACTATGCAACAAGCTACAGAAGGCTTGGTGTGGGACTCCTGGTAAGACCTAGTAGAGAATTATTTGGTGAAAAACACTTCAAAACCAAGCTAGCATCTAAGGAATGTTGTGGAACCACTTTTCTTCTTTCTAACTTTCTTTCTTTTTTATTTTTATTTATTTTTTTATTTTTTTAGAGAGAGAGAGAGAGAATTTTTTAATATTTATTTTTTAGTTTTTGGTGGACACAACGTCTTTATCTTATTTGTATGTGGTGCTGAGGATCGAACCCAGCGCCTTGCGCATGCCAAGCGAGCACTACCACTTGAGCCACATCCCCAGCCCTTCTTTTTTATTTTTACCAGATACCTGGATGACTTAAATAAAAAGCTAGACCTAGAGACATCGTCAGAAGATTTTCCAGGAGGACGTTTCCTTTGGAAAAAAACGCCATTCTCTGGAATTTTAAATCACAATTGTAAATGAGTTTCCGTTATCTCTAGGCTTCCCCTCTTAATACCACAATACTTTAGTAATCAAAACATCAAAAACATTCCCAACTTTTCTGTCTTCTGCCATTACTCTCTGGTTCTTAAACACAATACATTTATTCATTTTCCCAACATGAGAGATACTTAAGGTTACAAACAACTCTTAATTTCACTGAATGTCAAAGAGTTTGAGATTTGGGAAAAATTTTCAACATCATTCATTTCAAAATCATTAACTATAGATGGGAAGCTAAAGCCAAGAAATATGGTCAAGTGACCTGTCCAGTTAGTATACAGCTGGACTTAGGACCCAGCTTTTCTGACCTGAAGCCCTCTTCTCTTTCGTATATCCCACAAAGGTCCTTAAAATCCCTACAGACCCTTTAACAGGAGAGTCCATGAAATGTACCATGTGATGGTTAATGTTAGGTGTCAACATGACTGGATTAAGGAATACCTAGAAAACTGATAAAGCATTATTTGGGGTGTGTCTGTGAGAGTGTTTCCAGAGGAGCTTAGTCTGTAAGTCTGAAATGGACCAGGGACATCCATCCTCAGTATTTGTTCTCCCAATCTGCTGGGGAGAACAAATACAGAAAGCAAATGGGTCTCTTTCCCTGAGGCCTGGGCCAAGCTTTTCTCCTCCTGCCTTGTACAACAGAAGTCCAGGCCCTCCAGCCTTTGGGATCCAGTACTTATACCAGGCACCCTCCCCAGTTTCCCAGGCTTTCAGCCTGGAACTGAGAGTACTACCAGTGGGGCTTCTCTGGTTCCGAAGTCTTTGAACTTGGACTGAACCATGCTACTAGCATCCACAGGTCTCCAGTCTATGGATAACCTGTTATGGGACTTCTCAGCCATTATAATCACACAACACAAATCCCCTCTCATGTATCTACCTGCGTAGCCTGCTGGTTCTGTCTCTCTGGAGAATCCTGACTAACTGACATGGTAATAAATCTACTTGTCTTACAAGTTCTAAGGCGAGGGAGATAAAAGTGTCTAACCATTCTAAGAACTGTCCGTGTTTAGTATGAAGTAAAGAGGTAACTCCTACTTTGAGTAATTTTTCAACTCTTCTGAGGCGTCGTCCACCATATTGCTGTCCTTAGCTTCGTGGGCCATCGCTCGGTAGAGAATGCAAGCAATCACTGCCTTAACTGTGGCTTCCTCTCCATGCTGCCAGAAGAACATGGCCATCTTCTGCCTTTTCATGAGCACAGCCCAAACCAGCAGGTCATTGTAAGGATAAATAAAGCCAGTGGACTCAGGGTCATCTGTAATGTCTTGTCTTTCTTTTGACTTCTTCCTTGATTTATGAGAGACTCCAGACTTTTCCTGTTGGAAAGCAAAATAGGATTACATTTCCAAATACTAGGATGAGGTTTTACCTAATATAACACAGCAAGTATCTTAGAGATATTTTTAAAATCACTTAAAACAAGACATGGAAATATTGATAGGACTTAATAACCAGCAAGAAAAAATTAAACATTCTACAGTGATGTATTCTTGTTGTATTTAAGGTATCCAGAGTCCCTAAGCTGAGACACTTTAAATTCACATGGCACAACTACTTTGGGATATACCCAGTAACTATATGACAACTTTTGATTTCTCAAGGAAGTATGTTGAAATAATATATTGGAAATTATTTTAAAAATCTCTAACCTCACTTTATCAAATAGATTTATAATTTTTCCCTTAAGTGGATGTCACTAGTATTCCAAACATGCATCAAAACAGATTTGTTTTTAAGTTTTCTTTCCCTTATTCTAATTTCATTTCTATAGGGATAATAATGAAATAGTATTCTCCTCCTGGTGAGGTCACTCTTAGCTCATCTCAGATGTCACTTCGTATGTCTTTATTTCATTGTCTCTCGTACTGTACTACCGTATAACCTGGAGAAAAATGGGACCATTTCTGAGTCATCTTCATATCTTTCCTGACCCACTTGCTTCCCAAACTTAACCTAGTAGCCAGCATAATACTTGGAAATATAATAACGATTCAGTAATTATTCTTTGCAATTTGAGGGACCATAGCAAAAGAATTCTAATCTATTTTCTCTCTTTCCATAAATAAAGGAAATCTGTATTCATTAATGATGGCCAAGGGTAATCAAATATATGTTCATCCCAGGAGCCTTGGAAAGCAAATCTCTTTAATCCAACATGGCAAATATTTCTATGGAAATGCTTAAGCAAAATCATTTATCTCCAGAAGAAAATGGGATTAAGGAAGTAAGAAGCAAAGGGAAATATTAAGGTTGTTGTGTATGTGCAGGCACACACACACACACACACACACATGCAATTATCATTATACCATAATGACAGGCTAAATTAATCTCAAGAAAACCTCTGAACGGAAAAAGGAAGACACAAAAAGGCATTTTTGAGAGCACTGAAGGAGAAGGAAGCAGTCCTCATACAGCTTAACCTTGGTTCAGGAAAGACAAGGATGTAGTGTTGGGCAATGATTATAAATTTTTAATACTATGGCATAGACTGCCAACCTGAGTCACCGTCTGGGCATGGCAAAGCTAGGAGAAAGAAAGAGAAACCAAAGTGCAAGCCCAGACAATCACTGGGTTGCCAGTGCTATATCCTAGGCCTTTGCTCCTGATTGTCAGAGGACAGCTGTGTTATGCTTTTTGACTTTACAAATGGTTCCTCTATTTGCACCTTGCTTTCTCCAACATTCCATGAAGAAACAATCTCAGTCTGAGAGAATAATTTATTGTCCACTCTAAAAATAAATGAGTGATACCTTGAATTTATAAGGCTGGGCAGTTCTGAAGAACTGGGAATGCGAGGTGTTTTCTGCAGACTCGTTTCTATTTGACAAAGAACATCGCTGGTGAAGAGGGTGCTGGGAGAAGCTTTGAGCAAAGCTGGTCGTTCTCTGGCATATATAGTTATTTTGTTATTTTTTTTTTAAGAAAAGAAAACAGAAAAAAAAGAAAGTTATAGTGGTAACGATATTTTTTTCATAGACAATAATTAAAATATATAATAAATAAATATAAATATATATATATTTATATATTTTTATATAAAAATAAATATAATGTTCCACCAAATATCTAATGGTTATGCCTCTCATCCATCATTAGCATTTCATCTCCCTGGAGCCTAATTACTCAAGAGCTTCTCATAATCTTCCTCTTATTAAGCACACTGCTACTTTCTAACATCTTAGAGAACACACTCTTCTGCTCCCTACTGTATATTTGCATTCCTTCTCTATGTGGAAATTCCATTAGAATCAATGGATATTCTATCATTGGAACAAGTTCAAAATAGGCAATAAAGATTTATAGTTCTGATAAGAAAAAGTTTCCATTCACAAACGGCTCCAAGAATAAGTGAAGTTAGAAAGTTATGAAATTTCTCCAGATGTTATATAGTTTTCTCTTGAAAATATAGAAATTAAAAGCTTAATAGGATTAGATCTATAAACTCTAGATTTATATTTAAATCTAGAGTTTCAGTGACTGGGCCCAATAGGAACATAAGTCATTGTTATCAGCATCAAGTGTTCATCAATAAGAAACAAAAACACAAAGAAGTATATTAAAAGAACTGACATAAAAATACAGGCTACTTCTGGCTCTTGAGATAGCCCACATTCTCCCCTGAATGTATACTCTTTGCTTTATCCCCATTCCCCATGTTTCTCACTCTTAAGAAAGTCCACATTCTCTCTTGAATGTGTCTCTGCTTTCTTAAATACATCACTGTGTCTCTAAAAAAATTATACACACACACACACACACATACACACACACATATATATGTATACACACATTAAAAAAACTACAGGCTACAATCAGTCCTCATATCTGCCATTGGTAAACTCACAGCAATATATATATATATATATATATATAGAGAGAGAGAGAGAGAGAGAGAGAGAGATTTGGTAGAACATTATATATGTATATATATACATACACACACACACACACATATATATATATATATTTTTTAATGAAATAGCTGGTACCTCCTAAATACATCCCTATGCCTCTGAAATCTTAACAGAGAATTTTCTGGGTATGTTTTGGGCTTCCATCTGTTTTGCATTGTCCTGTTTTTTCCAAGTCCTAAAGCCAAGTTCAGCTTCCACTTCTCATTACTTTTTATAAAGGGCCAAAGTGGCTGAATAGTCCAGGCTCTTTATATGATCTGATCCCAACCACCTTTCAAATCTCATCTCTTGTGCCTTTGGCACTTACTCTCCAGTAAAGGTCTCCTTGTCACTGCAAAAAACATACTCTGGTGTCTGAGTGCTCAGGCCCTCACTGCTCCTGCTCCTGTCAACATAAATACCCCAAACTCCCTCTTCTGCCCTTATCTTCTCAGAGGAGTTCGGCTCCTACAGTACAGTCTACAATGGAAATTCCAAAACACAAGCAATTTTTTTGTGCTAATCTACTAAATAACAACTCTAAACTTTTATTCTTAGATTTTCAAAACTATGATAGAAAACAAAATGTTTATTTCTATTTTTAAAAAATTTCTGTTTGCATCTTCCAATAAAATCCCTGTGTTTATCCTAAGGTTGTCATCATCTGGCTGTGGGCTAAAGAGTTTATAGATCTAATCCTAATTAGCTTTTAACTTCTATATTTTCAAAAGAAAACAAAGAGAAAAAGAACTGGCCATTTCTCTCTCTAACAAGTCCCATCTCATCACATTACTTCTATTTCAATGTAGCACTTATTTTTTAAAATATTTATTTTTTACTTGTAGTTGGACACAATACCTTTATTTTATTCATTTATTTTTATGTGGTGCTGGGGATCGAACCCGGGACCTTGCACGTGCTAGGTGAGTGCTCTACCACTGACACACAACCCCAGCCCTCAATATATCACTTATTATGTTCTGTTTTGTATTATGGTTAGTTCTTCATAAATCTATATCATCTAGAAGTTTCTAAACTCCTGCTCTTTATGTTCATCCCATCGCAGCATGCCAGGACGAAGCACAGTATTTACATACAGCAGGTAAAAAAAGGTTCACAAATAGAACGTCCATGTTAGAAGCTATTGACATCTGAACATAACAAACCATTTTTCTAAACCTACAATTTCTAATTATTCTTAATTTCATTAGGGGCACTTGTTAATTATGCTACCTTGTGTTTCCTGTAGAGGTTGTTGTAGAGGGCTCTGAAACTTTTCCTAGTATAGCTGCTGCGATATGCTCCACCAATGAGGTATTCTATCACCAATCCGATGTCAATCAGAGTTATTCTGTAGCCTGAAAGAAGGGTGTGCTGCAACAAAAGCACGCAAGGAGTTGTGACTTTCAGTTCTCTTTCTCTGCCTCTTTGGCCGTGCTATCAGACAATAACCAAGTTACTTTCAATGAGGTATACTTTAATCCTCTTTACAAACTAATCGATTTATATTGCCAGCTATTGATAGAATCTACTTATTCAGAAGAAAAAAAAATCTTAGCCTTAACGTCTTTTTACTTTCATAGACAGCAAATGTACGCCTACATCTATCTTCTCTTTCCCTCTCCCTATCATGAATGCAAACATAGGCACACATATATTTGAATAAGATACAATTAAATGTAGTATTATAGAGAATCTATAGATTGTTTTGTAATATATATATATATATATATATATATATATATATCTAACAACAAAAGTAAAATCATGAAGTATATAGTAAATGTAGGAAATCCAAAATTCACATTGGGTTAACTTTTTTTCTTATGGTACCAAGGACTGAATTCAGCGATACTTAACCACCGAGCAACATCCTCAGCCCTTTGAATTTTTGATTTTGAGACAGGATCTTGCTAAGTTGCTTAGGGTCTAGCTAAATTGCTGAGGCTGGTCTTGAATTTGTGATCCTCCTGCCTTAGCTGGGATTACAGGCATGCACCTCCATGCCCGGTTTATATTGGGTTAATTTTTCAGCTTCTGTTGAAATGGCTGTTACACCTTGAAGTGTGTTGAACACATCATATGTAAAACAAGAATGTGGAAGGAAGTAGAACAAACATAAATAAGGAACATAGAATTACAGAGTCAAATGATATCTCAAAACATGAGGCTGTGCCAAGAGAAATGTTATAGCTGACAGCAGGATTGAACAGCAAATTTCCAAGTACATGGCTCTTACTCTAAATGAAAATTATTTTGACCCCCTACACCTCACATTGTATAGCTGCTGACTTCTAAACTGCCATTCGTAGTAAGTTTTTTAAGGTGGAGTGTTAAACAAGGTCTCTAAAATGGACAAATTGTGAATAACATTCGCGAAGCTATGAACAAGAAATTAGGGGTTTTTTTTGTTTTTTTGGTTTTTTTTTTGTGTGTGTGTGTGTGAAAGAGAGAGAAGACAGAGAGAGAGTATGTGTATCCATATATACTTTTCTCTTTTTTTCACATTTATTATTTATTTTTTTCAAAGAACATCAAAAAAATAACAATCCTGGCAACCAAGTGTGGTGGCACATGCCTATAATCCCAGTGGCTCAGGAGGCTGAGACAGGAGAATTGAAAGTTCAAAGCCAGCCTCAGCAACTTAGCAAGACTCTGTCTCAAAAAAATAAAAACTAGAAAGGGCTGGGGATGTGGCTCATGGGTCAAGCACCCCTGGGTTCAATCCCTGGTAGAAAAATAAATAAATAAATAACATTCCTACTTGCTGCTAGTTAAAGGCATAAATTTGCTGGGCATGGTAGTGCACACCTATAATTCCAGGGACCCGGGAGGCTGAGACAGGAGGGCCATAAGTTCAAAGTCAGTGTGGGAAACCCAGTAAGTCCCTGTCTCAAAGGAAAAAATAAAAAGAACTGGGTTTGTGGATCAATGGTAAAGCACCACTGGATTCAATCCCCAATAAAAACAACGGTAAATAAATTAATAAGAGCATCTTTAACCTATTTTATGCCTTTTTCTTCAATTTACTGATAGAGTTTAAAGAAATAATTTAAGAAACTATCTTGACATAGCATAAATCAATATAAATAAAATCCACCTCAGCATAGACACTTTTGCTTTTTACAAATTTGCCAAGTAAATTTCTTTCGCTCTGGTTCTCCTTCCAAGTCAACATAAGCAGAAATTCCACACTCTATCATTCCATCCTATGAGATACTAGACTTCAAAGAAATGAGGGAAGTTTTAAAATGTGCCTCAGTCGATTTTAACCAGAGTGACAAGACCAGGGGGAGAAAAGGAAGTCCCAATTCCTGGGTCTGATCTAACTCAAAGTTCCATGAGAAGACCAGGAGCAAAATCTGAACAAGGGTGTTGAGCAGTGAGGTCCTTCCAGACTCCCTAGAACAGTGGTTAGACCTAGAAAAAAATGTGCCAGTGTCCCCGAGCTGTCACAAATATTCAAAACAGTATCAACAAAAGCAACGAAATCATGTTAGTCCTCCAATAAAGACAACAGAACCACAGACTCTTTTTCTGCTGGCAGTTGTCACCATGGGCACCACTGCCCTATCATGTAGAGCTGAAGTTCTGATTGGAAGTGTTACATGTCTCCGTTTCATGCTTTTGTTTGTTTCTTTTTTGCAATTTCTTTTTTCACATATTTTATTGTTTCTTTCTGGTTATACATAACATTAGAATTCATTTTGACATAATTAAAAAAGCATGGTATATAATTTGCTCTAATTCAGTCCCCAGTATTTTCTCTTCCCCTTCCTTTCTTCCTCTCCTTGTTCCCTTCCCTCTATTCCACTGATCTTTCTGCTACTTATTTTAAGTCTTTTTTTTTCTTGTTGGTTAGTGTCTGTGGATGCATATGATGGTGAGATTCACTGTGGTGTATTCATGTGTGTACACATAGGAAAGTTAGGTCAGATTCATTTCTCTGTTCTTCCCTTATCCCATCTCTTCTCCCTCCCACTTAGTCCCCTTCATCTAGCCCACACCTTCCATCCTTTTTGATGGAATCTTCCACCCTTGATTCCCCTCTCCTTATTTTGGAATAGCTTCCAGAGAAAACATTCAACCTTTGGCTTTTTGAGTCTGGCTTATTTCACTTAGCATGACGTTCTCCATTTCTATTCATTTACCAGCAAATATCATAATTTCATTCTTCCTTATGACTGAGGAATATTTTATTGTGTATATATCTCACATTTTGTTCTTTATTAGCTAATGTCACTTTCTTGGTAGATCCAAACTAAAAACATAAAGTGAACTAAAGGAAAAAAATGTAAGAGTGTGGTTTGATGAGAAAAAATTGCTTAGAATCATATATATGTAAAAAGGGTAGATAATTCACTAGAAAATCAAAAGAAGCAAAATATGGCTACTCTTCTCATAATAAAGCTAAGACAATATACAAAGATATTTTCATATCTTTGTAATTAGGTTACCTGTTTTACATCTTGGACAAGATGATGCAACAGCATATTAGTCGGTCCTTGTTTCTGTGATAAAGAACAATAGAAAAAATTATTTCCTTTAATTAATATGTGGTAAAATGGGAGGACCCTTTATTTCCAAGTGTGTAAGTAATGCACAACATGGAAATTTTTGTTCAACATTTTTAGTAATGAAGATTAAGCTGGTTAGTTTTAAGAAAGAACTATCTCTAGGGAAGATGTATTTAGATGAAATATTTTTCTTTTTCTTTTGTCTTTGGATGAAAAAAAAATTTCAAAACAAGGAATCTATCTATCTATACATTAAGGATGTCAGCTTTATGTGATAAGATGGAGAAATACATTTTAAGTAATTTATAAGTATTCTTTATTATATATAAATGTTCATACTATTATAAATCCTAAGACACAAGTACATTTCAACATTGGATATTTATTGAAACCTTATTATGATCAACCAGGTTTCTAAGGGATTCAGTGGCATATTTATAAAAATAGAAAGCAGTGAGTACTTACACTAAAAAATGGATATGTGGGTGCTCAAAAAGAGTTATAACCAATTCATACCCTAGGAACAGATTGCTGTGAACTATCTGGCATCATAAAGAAGAGAGGGCTTGAATAGGACATTGAAGAGAGAATAATATTCAAAGATAGAGGATAGGTATTTCCACTGCTTCAGCAACTGGTGTTTTCAGTAAAACAAGTAAAGTAAGTCAGACTAGTTTCAACAAAGGATTTGCATTGGGAAGTTGCAGTAACAGCATTTTAACAGTGGCCTTGGGTTAAGATACTTCAAGTAACTCAATAAAAGACAATTTGTTCTTATTCACATCTTTGTCTTTATCTATATCTTGGTAGAATAAACTAGAATTGGTGAGAAGGTTTCTCCTTCGGTTGAAAAGCCTGTATCTTTATAAACTGTGTACCTGAACATTCAAGGAGATAGGTAAATCCTAATCTAATTAGTAAATAAACCTTCAAGCAGATGGCTGATGAAGCTCTATACTCACCGTATTGTAGAGCTCTTCTAGTCGGGGAATCGTAAGAAAGCGATGGAGGTTCACTCCATTTTCTATCAAAAGCTTCACAAAATCCACACGATCCATCACCAAGGCATCTAACATTGCTTGTTCTAGTGTGCCAGGCTTCATAAGGTACAAATTAAAAGACAGTTAATGTAGAATGAACTAAGGAATTTTACATATTTGCACTTAAGCCATACACACCCAGTAATTACAAAATACAGCCTTACCAAGAATGTGCAGGACCTAAGTGAAGGCATCTTGACTAAATCAAGAAATATTTCATGGGAAAACTGACTATGACAAAGATTTCAGAACTTCCCAAAATGATGTGCAGAGTTAATGCAATTCTAATAAAAATCAAAGGGTTTTTTGGTTTGGGGTTTAAAAAAATTTTTTCTAATGTTGGTAACATAATGTTTTCATTTAAGCTTTACCTGGTTTCTGAGTATAAACGGCAAGTTGAACATACTTCTCTAAATTTGTCCCACCATTAAGATTCAGCAAAAGAATTTTTTTTTAAAGAAAGAAAGAAATTCACAAGCACAAGGAGGACTAAAGTGGAGACAACAGTGCAACATTTTGGAAGTTGGAAAGCAGTTAGTCAAGTGGTAATTGACTTAGCAGTTTCCAGAAAGCCAAATAATTCAATTGGGAAATGTCAAGAACCAAACAAGATCTATGCCACTGAATTCCAGCAGCACCAAGATGAAATAAATGCCTTGGGTCCTTCCCTATCATCTTCCCCATTGGACTTCCAGGCAGGGGATCATAAGATTCTCTTCTGGTTAATAACACCGATGCAAGAGAAAACACATGAATCTGCTGACATCTGAGGGAGTCCCACAACAAATGGCACATTACTGTGAAGCTTACATCTACAGGAAAGCTCCAACTAGAGGCTCAGAGTTGCTAAAGAGCTTTCCATCCTCCACCCTTCAACAGAAAGACCAAAGCCAACAGATAAGAAAACATCAACAATGAGAAATCAGATAATGCATGGAGAAACCTTCAAAAAAGCTATCATTAAATAGTCTCAGAGAGATAAAATAAGACATATAATGGATGCCAATGAGAACAAAGGGTAGGAGAATACTATCAGAGAACATATTTGCTCTGGGAAATTACTAGATTAACTTCATGCTTTCAGAAGAGAAAAGCTTCATAGAAAACTTAAAGTTGAAGAAATCTACTAAAGAAAAGATAAGGAACATAGGAGGAAAAAGATAAGAAGATTAGAACAGCAATCCATAGGTTCAACATTCAGAATATAGGAATCCACAAAGAGAATGCAAAAAACAAACAAAATGGAATGGAAAGGAAAGGAAACATCCATGCCAATCTGATATCATGTGCCAATAATATAGAATGGATATACAGACTTATAGTAACACATATCATTGTGAAATCTCAGAACACTGGAAAAAGATTTTTGAAACTTACAGCAGGAGGGGAAAATGGCCATAAAGGATCTGAAAACAAATTTCTATTTCTCAACAGCAATGCTGAGTGCCCAAAATTCTGTAGAAAAACTTACTTAAGTGTAGATTAAAATATAGAAAAACATATAGATCCTCAAAATATTTATTTCCCATAGTCCCTTCTTACAAGTTACCCAAGCATGCATGCCATCAAAATAAAGGAATAAATCACAAAGAGGAAGTCCTCATGTACAGAAAACAGGCACTCTTCCAGGGGAGTGAGAGAAAAAGATTCCCAGCATGATGGAGGTAGATTCTAGGAGTACAGCCAAGCACCAGGAATGAGGCAATCTGCCCACATTGCAACCATGAGGCCCCCAAAAGGCAGATGTTGAGAGTCTTCTAAAATTGATGAATCAGAAGATAGCCATACAACTTTATTTAGAAATGGGGAGATTTAGCCAGGCACAGTGGCACACCACACATTTGTAATCCCAGAAACTCAGGAGATTGAGGTAGGATGATGACAAGTTCTAGGCCACCGAGGGCAATTTGGCGATCCTGTCCTGAAACTGTAGTGCAGTAGTACAGTATTCCTGGTTTCAATCCCCAGTACCACAAAAGAGAGAGAGAGAGAGAGAGAGAAATATGAAAATTTGTAAATGTCAGAACAGAACAGTCCAAAAATGTCAAAAGTAGTAGACTCCTTCTGGAAGGGAATTACATTTTTAAAAGCCCTTTAATACCATTTGATGTTTTAAACAATGTGCATGTATCATTTGACCCAAATATAATTTACCC